GAGGGGTCTCTTGAGTCGGACACAATAAAGTGCTGCGTGATCGGCCTGAGTGGAAACGTAACCGTCGTAAATTAAATAGACAGAATCAAATGCTCTCGACCACAACCATCACGCCCTCTTTCCCTAAATCAGTACTTCTCCATCTCATCTTGTCAGCTGTATTCATCCCGATCCTGTGCTCTATAATTCACTTTAAAAGCCACAAAAAACCGGGATGACAGTCGAATAAGATCAAATTTTGGGTAGACGAGAAGATAATTCGTCGACGACTACATGCAGCAACCCAGGGAGCTGGAACAATCGACTTCTCTTCGGACGAAGACCCACGCACTCAATACTTCTTTTGATAAGAGGAGAAGGGTTGTATTGGAAAGGTGTACACTTTTGAGCCTTACGAGACTGCCTACCGTCGGTATAAAGCGAATGAGTACTCCATCAACAGTGCAGTCAGAGCAGACTCGAGCCTACGTGCAGTACGACAGGCTTTACGCCGAGCAAAGTACCTGGCTACCACTAGAGGTTCACCAGACTCGCACTGCATTAACATGAACGGCATTGCGGCTGCACAATGCAACTACCCTCTACCATCGTCATGAGCGCCATGATAGGAAAAGTGCTTGACACGAGGAGCGTCAGTGGAGGTCTTGTCCAGATGCACCGGATGTCGGTCGAAACGATTCTGCATTCAACAATCGCTTTGACAGCCAGCCGAAAGGCTTTCACCAGACTCGACGAGCAAGCTAAGATGAGTCGGTAGACGTCATGCAAAACAGGCAGCTTGGTCTCGAGATAGCTTAGTTTCCCGTGTTTACTTCGACCCTAGCGACGCGACCGGAATCGGATACGAATGAGGTGAGGTGATGGAGATGCGCTACCACTCACAATTCACGCCAAACAAGGATCAGCCTCCTGTACGAAACAGCACCCAACCAGGACCTTACTGGTAAGTGGTGTCAGCTCAGAAGACAGCGCTTGAGTGTGTAAATGCCGTAAGCAAGCTGCAGTCGACAGGGTTGCTCTCCTTACCATGTGACGGACATGAGAACGCGAAAGAGTGTGCATTGGTAAACTGCACCTCAAAGACTCGCTCTTCTCATTCTCATTGTCATTGTCATAAGAAAATCGCGCATTGTGCTGAAACGCCTCGTATATCGTTTCAGCCGTTCGCGTAACGGTGGCGCCGTTGCGGCACTTGTGTTGTCACTTATGTGCATGTGGTCGGTCGCCCTTTTACACGAACGGCGGCTGCTGACAAGCTTAATCTCGATGGCAGGTCTTTCCTGCTAAGGTAAACAGGAGATGGAAAGGGTCCACGCACACAGCACGTTGTGTACGAGCGGCAGTCACATCTTTGCTTAGGTCAAAGCGTTGTGCTAATGGATGCATTCCGAGGGCCGGTGTCTCACTCCTGCGCACATGTGCATTGCTACTGACAACGACATTGTATCGGCAAGTGAACAGTAGTCGTTGACGCCGTGACGGGTTTATCTCATTCAAGCGCCGGTGCAACAGCGATCGATGAGAATGATCACAGCAAGTCTAGAAGTCTTCTCACGCTGCGTTCAGCCCAATCGTCGGCTCAGTCTTAGCGTGAAGGATGTTACAGCAGTGCGCGATTGCGACGAATGTAGAGACGTGTGCCCGAGTCACAACGTGTGCAGTCGAAGCGCTGCGCGTGCGTGGCATTAGCCTTGACAGACGTTCTTGCGCAGCAAGTATCAGAACGTGAGTAGGAAGCACCAACACGTAGGGCAGGTCAAACGAGCAATGTTCGAGCACATATGTAGCGAGATGGTCCGAGTTCCACCTAGAAATGAAGAGATGCTCGACACCCACGAACCAAGTGGACCGGAATCTTGGGCTCAAGAATGCGTAAATGTTGACGTGCAAGTCCGTCGTTGGCTCACACGATTATAACGGACCATCTGGAGCGTGAAGCTCGAAATGACCTGATGGGACTCGGGTGTCGGATCTCATGGTTGAAACCTTTACACGAGATCAGGGACAGCTGGGGTCTTGCTGTTGCGATCACTATTGGAACAGCAGCAGAGTTGATTATGCACGCCTCCAGAAGCAGAATCTGACCGCGTCGTATGTGACGCAACAGATCTAGTCACGTGTCCTGTGTTACGCGTTCGTTTCTTGGCGTAAAGCCACTCGAGTACGCATTGTCTGCTGTTGCATCGTGGTGGTAAGCTGCACACAAAACGAACATGTGGGGTTGACAAGGGACCTTTTTTACGTCCCGGTCTTAGGGATATGATGTACAACCCGGAGAGGTCCAGCCGGAGTAGCGACTAGCCGATTGGAAAGCAAAGATAATGGGGGAAAAGGAATTCCAGATCCTCAGCCAGGTTTCGATGGGTTTCTGTTAACGGCAATGCACCGATGGAAACAGGGTACTAAATCTTGTGTCAACAGTTGGCTCACTATCAACCATTGTGGACTTGGTAGCGGTTTAGAGGGACTGTATCGCACGAGCGACGGACTACCAAGTCGAAATGTGGAAGAGATAGTTGGTACGCCAAGGCGTCATGCTGAATCTACATCCCCTTTCTCATCTAAACTTTTCGGTACAAGGCTGTGCGGCAACTAATCTAGTGCTGAGATACTTGTTGGTGTCGTTGGACTAACGGTCGGAAGATCAGCGCAACTTGTCATTACGAACGGATCTCGAATTGCACCTGAACAGATACAAAAAGGTACCGGATCGGGATGGAGCAAGGCGTTGTTGCTTGCTTCTTTCATGACCGATCGCTGATTCCTCAATAGTGAAGCAGGATGTACTTCCATTCGCTTTGTTTCTCCATGTAAGTCGTACACAACTACTCACGTCTCGATTTTGACCGATGCCGTACCTGATACAGGTGGTGCTTCACGCAGCACTTCGAATGTTTGGCGTCGATACGCAACGATGCAGAATACAGGAATGTAGCATCGGGCGATGTGTTTCCACTTGATCTCAACCTCACATGCTTACGCCAAAACAAGGCTTGATCATGGGGTACAGCGATAAGCAAGAGGCACCAGTCTTCCTTCAAAAGGACAAAAGCTATTGTGATGCACTCCCACCAGTACATCCATCACGCATCCGTGACGAGAAAACAGCACGGCTTAGTCTCAGTATCGATGCTGTCGTTCAGACCAATTTGCCCCAAAAAGCCTACTTGAGATCGCTCCTACAAAGGGCTCAATCACACCTGGCCAGCCACGCGACTGATGATGACTTGAACTCAATGGCAGCGTACTCAAGTCGTGTAGGATGTGTGATTACGAGCGACAACTCGAAGGCGGTTTCGGTGGCATTACGTGGCTTCACATGACGCTCGTCGTTCACGTTTCAACGGACGACTTCGTACTGTTGTATGTACATTGCCGATCTAGAAAATTTCGCATTGTTGTTTGTACGGAATTCGCGGCGATGTGCTCGGACATTCAACTTGACACAATCCGGCTACGTCCAGCAGAGGAAGCTGCTGTGCCTGCAGCATTGTCCTGCTTGCATCATAGCAAGAGCCACAACTCGTCAACATGTTTCCACAGCCAGAGGAGCGACGGGGTGCACTCCATGGACCAGCTCAGAGCTCGAGTCTAGACGATTACTTCGCATGTCACACGAAAGTGCTGGCTGTCACTCGGGTCGTTGGTCGTCGCTGACGGTCCCAAAGGACACAGGACCAGGTGAATCCTCTCAGGCAGATACACGACTTCTATGTCAATGCCCAGGCGTAGAAATCACTCACCTTTCCTGATGGGACATGCATGCACTTAGCGCTTCGCAACACTCAGTTGTAATACCCTAGACCTTCCATGTGGAAGTACGGAAAGTAGTAACTGCAAGCTGCGAAGGACTTGAATACTGAGAAAGAGGAGGAAGAAGAAGAAGACGTAGTCGAAGCGAAAGAAAGCAAAAGGAAGAAGAAGCCGAGCGAACAGGGTGATCCGATCATTTGCAGCGGTAATTGACACCTCTGCTGCAGTAGACGACGAAGTTGAACGCCGTAGCGATCTGTTCAGGTACGTCTGAACATGTGGACGCGTTGAGCAGATCGGATAGAAGTTGTTCGAGGACTGTGGAAGTTCCGGTGACGGAGGAGATCAAGACCGATCTGACTTTTTGTCGGTAGAGTTTCTGGTGCCGCCCACCAGCAGCAGCAGCAGCGGCTCCCCAAGTTTTGGGCAGCGCTCGTATGACGTGACGTAGGAAGGAGCGTCCTGTGACGATTACTCGAGTGCTAATGCCTGAAAACCGTCTGGAGTAATGTCTCAAGTCGCCGAAACAAATTAAACTCACCACCGAATCCCACGGAAGACTTCCTTGGTGCTGCGACGCTGCACTCGGAGCCAGTTGCAAGGAACATCTGCAGCTGAAACGGGCTCGAGATGTCGGTATTTGATCAATTCGAGCGAGTAGTTGCTACATGGCGTCGCTTGTAGGAGTAAGGAGGCTAGTAACGATGATTGTTGAGGGCTGAAAGGTCGGATGCAAGAAGTTGACGATGATAGCAACGTATCGCGCAGCGCTTCACGCTTCCTTCAGCCCACCACGACTACAAACCTGGTATCGATGGCCTGCACCTGTCAATGTAGCGAATCGTCTTTCCTACGCACGAGAGCTGCAAATGAAAGCTTGCTCGTAGCCTCAGCTTCAGTCACATCAAAAGAGTGCTCGGATCTCCATGAAGACGTGATCCCTTACTTTGCATGTCAACTTGGGTCAGCCACCGCCGCTCGCTAAAGTTCTCATGAACAAGCCATTCCAAGTCCGGCGACGCCACTCCGTCTGTCTCATTGCAAGTCCAGCTTTTCGCAAAAAGGACTTGCGCGACTTGACTGGACTCCATGCACTTTACTCCTACTGCGACTCGAAAAGATAAAAGAGCTGCACCTGGTTGTAAACATGTGTCGTCGACAAGGACGTGGTTACAGTTAACTAACCGCCTCCAGTCTCAGCCTCCTGCCGTTCGTATCCTGACTCGCTTGTCATTCTCTGACACGACATGACACGCAACTCCACGACCACCAGCGATCGCCCTTTGGTGGACGCAATCGATGCACCGCCTTCTAGCAGTCACGACCTTGCAGACGCTTGCTCCTATTCAGAAAACGGTCTGGAACGCTACTCGAACCGCCTGCTACAATCACGCGTCGGGCGCGACCAGCAACGATACGACGGGAACACCCGCTTGCTGGTGTGTATCGCTGTCGTGTCGCGTCGTGCGAGACACGTTGGCACGGACACGGACGAGTGTCTGCTCATTTCGAGCTCGAAACACCCGACGCAGTGGATCTTGCCGAAAGGAGGATGGGAGACGGACGAGTCGGTCGTTGAGAGTGCTCTGCGTGAAGCAAACGAGGAAGCAGGGGTAGCAAGGCTTTGCAACTAGACTTTAGTAGAGATAGAGAGAGAGAGAGTCTGTCTGTCTGTCTGTCTGTCTGTACGTCTGTGTGACTAGTCGTGTGTGTGTGTTTCTTCTTCATTTACATACTGGATGCAGGTGGCAGGCCACATTGACAACTCGCTAGGCACGCTCGACTTTGTGAGCCAGCAAGGCAAGCCGTGCCGCTTCTACGGCTTTAAACTACAAGTCACCGAGATCTTTGACGACTGGGCCGAGAACACGCGCTTGCGAAAGTGGGTACGTCTACAGAGCTGCTGGGCAGACGGTGAAGAGGCTGTCGGATCCAGCTAGACTGACTCGTTTGTTCAACTCGACTATCTGGCTGAGGTATCTTTTGCGGAGGCTCGCGAGCTGCTCCAGCATCGACCTGAACTCTTGGAGATGATGTCGCGCGCGGCAGCCACGACTTGACGTGCCAAGTCTTTTGTTTCGTCCCTGTGCAGAGTTACAATGGCACCGACGGGACTGTTTGTTACAAACTGTTGGCAAGCTGCTCTTGTCACTCGGGACGGCAGCTCACAATATCACACTCACTCACACACATGCAGTCACGCTTGCTCTCTCTACACAAGTGGTCGTGATTGAACGACGGAAGACGTCGAACGAGCAGACGATTTGCACGACAGGACGGGGAGGACCGAACTTGTCGAGCAAGGACGACAAGCTGCGACTGCGGTCGTACATAGACTAACGGTTGCGCGTCGCTTGCCGTTCCAACGGTAGTAGTCATCGTAGTGGTAGTCGCACCCTTGTAGCTCCAACTACCGGGTCGCGAGACCTTTTCCGTCCTCCCCCTCCTCCTTACTACCGAGTCCCGATTGCACCGGCCAGACTACGTGTAGGACCTACGTACCCAGTGGTAGCTCGCTCGCTACAGTAGTCGTATACATCCCTAGCAAAACCCCAGGCATTGTGTCACGCTATCAACGGGTGTTGTCGCTGTTTTCTGTTCGACGCTTTGACGCTTTGACTGACCCTCGTATTGTCGAGCACACCATGAGGGGGGAAGTCTCGCCCCATCAGTCGAGTCTGGCAACTGTACGCCAGCAGGGTGGTGCTTCCTCATCCAGCTGGCTGCTTGCTCCCACCCACCCGTCCCAGGGTTGACGATGCGAAAGAAATCGATGCGCGCTGTCCAGTCGTCAGTAGCAGGCGGTCCCACGGCAAACGAGGTGGCTGGTCGTGGCGCGTCGTCGCGGAAGTCACAGAAACTGAGCAAGCTGACTTGTGAAATGAAGCCTAAGGCAAAACCGGGGCACGCGAGTCCCAACGTGACAGAAACGAGAGCTCACGTCCGACAAACGCGCAACTTGTCGACCGCATCTCCCTGGTCCAGCGGCATCCATGTCCACCACATCCTTCAGTCAAATCCTGCAAGAAAACTGCACGCTCCGGCTTGCAAAAGCGCTCGCTTGCGGTCGAGAAGGTGAAGGAACGACCACCAAGAAGAAGGAGAAGAGAACGCGTTCAAAAGGACGACTTGTCCGGACAAACGGCGGCGCTGCGACTAGTGTGCGATTGTCGTAGAGCTATTGTAAAAGGTGGTTACGACGTGTGCAGTCAATGCGACGACGTCTGCTGAACTGCCACGCCGTCCCATGCTACGGGCCCAGCAGCCCAGTGGACCACTAGCTACTAGCGCTTCGTGCAGGTTTTCATGAAACGCTTTCGTTGCCTCTTGTCGAAAGTTGGAGACGTGAAACGTGAACGCCAAGCCCGTCGCACAAGTTTAACTCGTAGCATCTGCTCCATGTTCACGACGGAAGGGGCCTCGTCGAATTTGTTCCGAAGTAGAGGGTTTGGCAGGACGTCCGTTTCCATCTCACCGAATCAAACTCTCGCCTTTATCATCGACATCATGATCATCATGATCATCGTCACTATATGGACGAGCGGTCCCGTTTGTAATATGGTCACCCTGCTCGTAATCGAGCTGTCTGTCCAGGCTGTGTGCCCGTTTCGAGTCGGTCCACCAGCCGTTCTCAAAAGTGAGGTTCGCGTGAGCGAGCGTTCGAGAGCTCTTCAATATCTTTAAGCGCCGCTCGTGAGTCTGACGTGGTGCAGCGATCGCGACCGTAGGTGGCAAGAGGCCCACTGTGCCGTCTTCTACGGTAACCCCATGGCGTGGGAATCCGTCATCGTCACGCGTGGCGAACGCTTTGCAAAAGGAAAATCGCGTTTCCGAATCCTCTCAGCACGAGCAGAGGCACGTGATCTCCGGTCGAACTCATTAGATGCGGGCGCAATCCAAGTTCGTCTCCACCGCATGGACAGCAGCTAGACGTGCGATCGAAAGCAAAACACACACACACACACGGTCTACAATGGTCGTGCAGACGAGGAAGGAGGGACTGTAGACTTGCAAAAAACTCGCGTCGTCAGAAAGCGCGTCCGTGGTCGGAACGTGCCACTCGACTCGACTACTCGTGGCAAACGGCCTGTACATCTCATCGACACGATCGCAGCCGGTTGATTTCCACACCCTTTTGTCGTCGTCGCTTGTTCCGTGTCACAATCGGGTGTCGTCACGACTGCAATAACGAGTGCCGACCAGGGCGGCCGGGATTCTTCCACACGCGCAACCGTCCGTTAGTCGTCAGTCAATCGAGTCCAACAAAACCGCAACAGCAACAAGAACTCGTCGCTCTTCCTTTCCGAACAAAACACGTCCGAAGTGAGTGGCTGGCAGTTGCAGCCAGGAAGAGAGCGGGCGCCGCTAGGAACAGTGCCACGTGCGACACTTCGCGCGACGAATCCAGCCGGCAAGTACAAAGCCGTGCGCAAACGCCAGCTGGCACGACACGACGTGACGACATCAGTCGCGACTGAACCGTCTGTCGACTCTGCGCGCGCGCAAAAATAGAACCCCGAGTCCACACGGCGGGCTAGGGGTCGGAACGACCCTCGTCTGCCGGTCGTCTCGTCGTCGTCCCAAGCCCCGGGTCATTGCTCCCCGTGCTGCTGTTTGCGTCGACTCGCCCTCACTTGGTCCTTCAGTCAGTCAGTCAGTCAGTCCGTCGCTCGCCCTTTTTACAAGACGGTCATTTCTCGAAAAGCCTTGGAGCGCCAAGACAGTTCGTTCGTCCGTCCGTCCTCCTCCTTCTTCACTTGCTCTCGTTGTACTTGCCGTTTGTCTTTCAAAGGCTGCACACCTCGACTTCCGCCTCCTCTTCTCCTTCTTCTGAAGAGAAGCAGGTCAAGCCGCAGCTTCTTCCTGCCCCGCAGCCTCAACAGCAGCTTTCGAATCATGCGTCAACGTACCAAGAGCGTGGTGAACGTCCGCGAGTACTTTCGCATGGACGGCAGTGGAGCTCCTGAACAAGAAGACGACGATGACAATGACGGCGACTGGAAGCTCCTGCTCGAGGCTGCGGTGCGAGTAGGAGGGACCAAGTACGAAGTCGTGACGCCCGAGAGCAAACAGGGGGCACGGGCTCGGACGTCCACGTGCGACTCGCTCGATGACACGGACGACGATACGGACGATGACGACGAAGACGACGACGGGATTCTACGCATTCGGGCGTGCAGTCACGACCGTCGCATTAGTTTTCAGGTGGACGTGGACGTGGTGGAGATTCCGGCCCGCTCGAGCTTTGATGCTGGCTACAAACAGCGTGTCTGGTACTCGCGGGACGAGTTGCGTCGCAGTCAAATGTGCTGCTAGAAAAGAGGGAAGACGCGAGACGAGCTATTGGTCGAGTCCGTGTCGTCTCGAGGACACCCCACGATATCATCATCATCATCATCATGATCACGCACCGCAGGGACGCTGGTCTTGATCCCATTCACACGTCGTGCAGAGTGCGGGCGTGTTATTTATCGAGTCGAGCGTAGGCACGAGACGAGTTAGTACTACTACTTTACCACGAAAAGAGGGTGACAAGACAGAGAGAGAGAGAGAGAAGCAGACAGGTCGTGCGTTATTGTGATCCGAAGTGATAGGGTCCTCCCGTACGTACGTACGAACGTACATGCGAAATACACACCTGAAAGATACCGTCATCCCCTGCTGTATTCTTGTTGTAGATGATGATGCCCGCTGTATTATCGAGCACCTATTTCATCTCCTCGCTCTCTCTCTTTTTTTCTTACCGTTTTCTCAGTCAGCCAAAGGCGTTTATTACAGACAACAAACACGAGGCACTTTCGTGAAACAACAGCTCGTGGGAAGCACGGCAGGTGCTTGTCGTCGTTGCGTCTGTGAGCGCACCATCGTCCGTCCACTCACTGGTTTTGTATCTGCAGAGGAACGAATGAGCGACCACAAACACACGAAAGTCGCCGCCTTTTCGTGACAAAACCATAGGATCACCAGCTGGCACGCACGATGATAAAACGTGACGACGGCATGCCTACGAGAGATGGAAGCTGCACTGCCCCTCGTTGATGCAGTACAGCAACCGCCGCTTCATCACCTCGCGCGTCGAATAGTCCGGCAGTTTCAGGTAATTCGTGCATGTGGAAGCCGACGGCAGCACGGCGTCATTTTCCTTGGCACGGGAACCATCGGTGGTCTGTACGAGTTTGCGCACGACCGTGAGCTTGGGCTCGAGGTTGCGCAGTCCACCCAGTGGCAGGCGATTCGCACCCGTGACAAAACGCACAAAGAGACGCTGCTCATCCAACGACAGTTCACACAGAATCGACACGAGGTTGGCGATCGCACGACTATCTGCCGTGTACCCGTGGTCACACACCATGTGTTCCCGCAAGTCGACACCGTCACGATCCCAGATGGAGCTGCCAGAGCTACGATCACTTAGCAGTGCTTCGAGCTCGTGCACATCAAATGCCTGCAAGAAGCGAAAAAGCTGGCGGTCTCCTTTGCCGCCGCAAATTTGCTCGAAACCTTGCTTGAATGCTTGCACTTGGCTCTTGATTGTCCGGTCCAGCAAGAACTCGAGATTTAGCGTCACATACTGACGCAGTGTCGATAGCGTCACGGCGATGTCTTTGCCATCCGGTTGCAACGGAATCTCGTCGGCACCGATCATCGTGAAGGAGCGGCAGAGTGCATCAACCTCCGCAGTCCACGCAGCCACGTCATCTGACTCGATGTCTCCCGACGCCTCCTTGACGGCATATTGGACTGCTAGATCGTGCAAGTAGCGCAGTGACTTGGCCAACACCGGATCCAGCTCTTCTACGAAAGAAAGCGATGTCTCCACACTCACACCGTTACCCACCAGTACCTCGCCGCGCAACAATCGCACGAATGGACGAGCAAACGGCAAGTTTAGCAGCCGCTCGTCCAGGATAGCTTGACTCACGAAACGGCCCAAGAATCGAAACCATGCGAGCACGTCTACCTCATCTCCACTGAAAGAAGACGCGTCTTCATCCAAACTGTCGGAACCACTTGGCTCAGGTATACTATCGACTGATGTTCTATGCGCGTCCAATTCATTGTCGCAGAGGTAAGGCTTGGGGTATAGACCAAAAGGAGCCACCACAGGTGGACCACCACCGACGGTGCCGTTCAATAGAGCAGCTTCACTAAGATAATTCAGCGACTCTACCTCCGACTCCAACACATCGGGACTGCGCGCAAGATTCTCCACCAGCATTTCCACGTCGTGCCGAGTGATTGCAGATATCATTACATTCAACGGGGTGCCCTCACACAGGGGTGATACATGCTTGGTCACAGCGCGATAGTCCCTCTCAAACATGCGTCGACCCGACCGCGAAACCATGCGATTTCCATTCATAACAACAATGCCGGCATCCGTACCGGGAAAGTTCACCGTGTCACAGTGCGCACACTGCAGCACGGGATGCTGTACCCGCTTGGTATCTGTGGGAAACACCTTGGCAAGGTACTGTGCTTCCTCGTCACTTAGAATCCACCACTTTAGCATGGAACCAGACGCGGGCTCCGTCGTGCTGTCATTTTCTTCACCGTCGTGGTTCGGGCTGCAGTCACAAGAAGTTGCTGCAGAATGCCAATTTTGGTTATCTGAACATTGCGCACACTGTGGAATAGAATGTCTAGATGGTTGCCGGCGCTCTGGCGCCGAGCACGGGCTACCCTTCTCGCTAGTTTGACCTGGGGCACCTCCCTCACTATCAACACCTCTGTTCTCGCGCGTAAGCAACTGTTGGTGGACGGGACAGGCCGGAATGCAAAGTGCCTTGCATCGCGGGCAGTGGTACACTGCAACACGATGGTACCCTCGTATCGCAAGCGAGCCATTGGCCTGATTGGTCTTGGAGTGATCTGTGTCGGCGCCAACATGTTTCGATTTTTGCTCTACATCCGCGCTATGACTAACTCCAGACACGATCCGGTCATCATCCCACCAAAGCTGCAACTGCTTTGACTGTATCTGCTGGCATACAAGAGTAAAGAACTCCGTTGTTGGCCCTAGACCAGTTCCGACTTCCCCGAGAAATTCAATCTCAATCACTGCTTTTTTTCCACCATACAGTGTCAAAAGCTTTATCGCAGACTGCAAAAGGCGCGACCGCGCAACTCGCACTTTAAGCCGAGGAAGCTTTACCATTTGCATCACGTTGTCCAGGGCGGACGTCCGGGTGCGACTAGTTCCGTCACGGTACCGACGACGGCCGGCACTAGTGCTGGGTCGCACCTGGGCTGGTTCTTCCATCACAGCTTTTCTCCACACCGACCGACATAAATACTGAATAGCTCTCGAGCAACCACACGTAGTTGCGTACATGAAATGGCACCGTGTCTCGAACTTGAGCACGAACGGGAATTCATACACGAGACGAAAACACCACTTTGGGAGGTGGTTCGCTACAATACATACAGGCTGCTGCAAGGCACGACGCACCTGAAGGCTAAGGTAGCTGTTCACAAAATGAAGCTGTGTTCCGAACGGCATCCTACTACACTGCTCTCGTAGGAGTTTTAGCAGCAACAATAAGTCCCATACATCATCCCACCACTGCTCCGCCTCATCCATGCCTGCTGGTTTAGACAAAAACGATGATGCCACAACGATCTTAGAATCCGCACTAGCAGGCTCCATGGTGGCAACGTCATCTACAGAGATCGGGGCAGCTGCTACTCGGAACGTGATAGCATGAGGAGACGCTGTCCATAAAGGAGATCCGGATGTCGGCAAACTCTTGGATGTCGATCCAGGTGCATCCAAATCGGACTTTACATGACCAGTCGCGTCGAGGTCACCAAACTTTACAATAGCCTCTAAAATACTCATGTCTGCTGGAAGCACCTGTCCTTTATATACTGCAACCACTCTTCGCAACTCTATGTCATCCCTTAGAAACTCTTCACGCTCTTCAACTTCAGTTCCCCCGCTCTCATCGTCTTCCTCTGACAATTCGTCAGAAATAACATCAGTGTTTCGATCTCTGCCAAACAGCTTATCCGCGATAAAGACTTCCATTGTTTCGATCCGAGCAAGAGGTTCTACCAGCACGACTGTGTCGTGAACGGCGCGCTTGTTCAAACTACACCTGTTCTTCCGGTTTCGCATCAACGAATTTCGTTTTGCCCCGTGCTCTGCCATATCGTGGCGATCGTAAGGGGCCGCCTGATCAATGTCTCGGTCTTTAATGTCAGGCTCAAATGCTCGTTTTTCTTCCTCAATCAACACATGCACCTTGATATGCTGAGTTAATTGGTCCAAATCCGTCACAATGCTACCAGATGAAAGACTCGCAGACGACGAGTCCGCGGCAGAAACCACAAACACATCTTTTTCCGAAGAGATGGCATCTTGCAAACACCGCGAAAGCAAAGTCACAAATTCTAACCCACCGCTACCCGCTCCTTGCATCGTTAGCATTTGCGAAAACGCTTGCTGGCTCTTGTCAAACGACAAAATCCGAATGAGTACTTTCACCAATCCGCTGCAAGCAATTTCATGAGCAGTCAAAGTGTCGTTTCCTTCAACGACAAATTCCCGCAACTGTAATAGCACATCCAGTAGCGATGCAGTCTGATCGTTTCCGGTTGTACTGCTGGAAATCAGCGCCGTCTGCAGGTCGTCCACAAGTCGCTCAAAGCGCACCATAACGCTTACAACCGAACTTTTGTCACCCAAGTAATCACGAACAAGTCGAACTGCGATGGGGCGAATACTCTGCAGGTCACTTTTATCTTTGTCTTCCTCGGGCTCGACGATAGTAGATGCGTAATAGCGGATGATATTTGTGACACCATACCGCTCGTAATCTTCTTTTGTCGCCTCTCGAGCACCAGTATGCTGTAGAGGCATCTCGACAAGTTTCAGCGCAAGCTCTATCAGCACAAAGTCGCTATCCGCTTTGTGCTTCGAATGAGCTGTCGTGCCAGTGCGGTTGGGACGCAGCACTCGCGCAAGAAAAGCGGCAAGCCGCGCCAGCTCAGTTCGTTCTTCAACTTTGAATGGCTGCCAATCAGCATACACCAATGAGCAGCATCGAGAGATGACGCCGAGACAGTCGTATCGCAAATCCGGTCGGGAAGTCGCGTCGTAGACGCGTGTGATCAGCGGCAATATACCACGCGCTAACGTGAGCGTTGCCGGTGGAATCGCTGCATCTGCTGAAAAAACATCGTTCACAAAAGGCACGACAACTAGCACCAGCTTGAGCGTCTCGCGAAGTAGCTGGTTCTCCGACAAAACTTCTTGTTTCGCCAGCAATGCTGTCACAATATGCGGCAACTTGACAAAGCGCAAATGCGACGTACCCAGAACGTCCGTCGTTGCACCCAGATCACTTGGGACACAAGACAGTAGACACGCGAAAAAGCGCAATATACTAGTGTACCCTACTGGTGCCAATGGCAACGACAGCGGCACCGCCACTGCAGCTGCAGCTTCGTCTCCTCCGTCCACACCAGCAAACACCGCTAGCTTGTCCAGTAGCAGTGCACAGATCTCCTCCGTTGCAATCATTTGTGCAAACTCGTGACTCTGTGTGAACGCTTTGCTTTCCCCAAGCTTCTGCAAACACGCGACCGTGCTCTGCACGACATCATTGTCCAGTGACCGCAAGAGGTTGGTAAGAAACGGCAACCCGTGCCGCAGTTGCGTCTCCATTGCCAGTGGAAAGTCCGTAGCCAATTGACTGACGATCCGAGCAGCTCGGCGCTGAATCTCCAGTGGGAAAAAGTCGATAAACTGCAGCACCGCGACGAATCCGTTCTCTTCAATGACTTGGAGTCGGTACTGCGCACAGAGTTTCGCGACATGAGCTGGCGCAGCTGCTGGCGCCGGGGCTGTGGACGATAATACCGGCACCATCAGGAACCGACTGGTGCTACTGTTAGCGGAATGGAGCGCCGTCTCGGCTTTGCACACCATGACTTCAAGCATCTGGAGCGCCAGTTCCGCCACGTCTATGTACTGGATTTCCACGAGTTTGGCGCATAATGCACCAATCACGTGCTCACTTGCAGCCAATGGAATGGCTGCGCTGGGAAACAGCTCGAGCGTCATTGACAGCGCGCGCGCCGCCAAGAGGAGCACGTCCGTGGACAGCGAGTGACGCAGGAGCGTCACGATCAGCGGCACGAACGCGTCGACGCGGAAGCCCGCGACGGCCAGCGCGTCTTCTGTAGACAGCGAGAGCGTCTCACAGAGCGTCGAGAGCCCTTCGAGCTGCGTAGTGACCGGCGCGTCGGCGTGTAATTGCGCGCGGACGTGCTGGAAGAGACAGGGGCGCGTCTGATTGGTGGCAATGCCCGTGGCGGATGCGCTCGATATCAGATGTGCAAGCGACAGGGCCGAGTCGGAAGTTGAAGTGGCGCTAGGGGTGGGGGTCTCGAGCTGCGCGAGCAGCGCGCGGAGAGACGGCGAGACGTTGTCGTCGTCCTCGTGGTCGAGCGCCGAGAGGAGCGCGTGGGCGTCGGCGCTGTGCAGGTGCGCGAGCGCGTGGTGCGCGTCGAGGTGGTCGAGCGAGGCGTAGGCGTCGTCGTCGTCGGCGCTGTCGCTCGCGTCGCTGCGCGCACTCATGTGGTTCGCTCGGAATGTTTGTATTGTTGATTGTGTTGTTTGGTTTGTTCTTCTTTGGTTGGATGGGTGGTTGGGTGGGTGGATTGTTTTTGGGTGAGGAGTGGGTGGAGGATAAGAATAAAGAATCTGAGTCTGGAGAGGGAGGAGGAGAAACGTGCTTTTTATGCGGGTGGGTGGGTGGTGTCGCTGTTGGTGAGTGGTGTGGGTGAGTGGGTCTCTGGCGAGGCTGGGTCTAAGTCGGGTTCTTTTAGTTGCGAGAGCAATCGTTGAGTCGCTCTGGCGTCAAGTGCGTTGGCGACTCACAATAGTGACCGAAAATGGTAACCGATCGAGGAGCACTCAGAGTAAATCTCACTATTAGCCCTTTCCCAGGTCAAAAGTCTCATTATCAGCACCAGTACCAAAGGCAGCACCAGCCAACAATAAAGTTAGTGTAGATAACACTACTTGTTGCTCCCAATCATGAGAACTATATAATGCTATGAACGCCATGAGTTTAAGCACTTAGTAATAGCAAGATTTATCAGGATGTTACTCTAAAAGGTGGCGGTTGATTTAAGTGCAAGTTATGGAGCCACTCAATTGGCTCACGGACTAATTTTTCAGTCCGGTGTTGCTGCAACTAGGTTTTTGAAAGACTGATGTCCTAATCAGAACTGGCACCAGGGTTTATAAAATTGGTTGCAACAGCAAGACGTATGTGTGCCCACAAGATCGATGCCTGTGGGAGGTTCGTTTGACGGAGAGAAATCGGATGAGTGCAGCTTCAGAGCACTACATTTCCCGCCTACATGATATTCACGCCGACGTGTGCCTGGCAATATCCAAGCCAAGTTCTCGGCAAGTAAGATGGCTTCACATCTATTTTCATACGATACAGCAGGGTTTTGTGCGATTTTGAAGAGTAAGAGTGAAACGATATTGACTACAATAAGCGAGACAATAGATTAAGAACACATGTATCTTACAAGCTAATCACGATATCATGACTCCAGTTAACGTTATGTTGTCCTTGTCCTTGTCGTTAGCGCTATCGGTAGGTATCTAATGGCTAATTTTCGTCGAACGCGAAGAATTGGCGTAACTAAGCAGCTTTATGCATAATACTTCGCAGCTATCAGTCATTTTGTGCTGCTAGCGCACCACAAAGTCCAACAATACAGGAGGCAGCATTAGACTATGACCTTGAGTCCGCTGTCCCTTCTTCAGTTCGTACAAGGACCTACATAACAAACAATACACACCATAGAATATGCAGTATTGAATGTTCAGCGTGCAACTGGTTAACACTGTCACTTGCAGCTGCTCTGCTCAAATTGCTTTTATCCATTATCAAAATAACATGCTCGGCACTCTAGGTATTTATTCCATTTTCTGTGCAAAAGTAAAGTGCTGTTTAGTGGTTCGTTCCTTTCCAAAGCTCACAAAATCCACAAAAGCCCACGTACAAAAATGTCGACATCACTTTTGTACGTTCCGCTACTTAGTCTGAAAAAGGCATTGCATACTCACTACTCGCGCTTTCCTGGTAGAAATCCTACAATGACAACAAATACAAAACACCATACACACACTGTGTAAGCCTAGCTGTGGACAATATTTACACGCCCTCGTAGTGTATAAAATTACCTTAAGTGACTAGTTGGACTTTGAGGCCTCGACCGTATCCCGCGCAACCAGCACACCAAAGACTAGTTTAAGTTCGACGTGCATCTACGTCCTTGCATACATCTTTCATCGAGTACAGATCAATGAATAACGTCAAACTCTTTGTGAGCTACCTCAGCCACAAGATCTCACTGTTTTTGACAACTGTTGTCTATACGTCATCATAAATTAAGTCCTGCTTCATTCCGCAAGCCAGTCGAGTGTGTTGTTCCAGCAAAAATGTATCAAGCCCACCAACTGATCGTATGGGACCTAAACAGCAAAATGAACAGTTTTAGCGTGAGCAAGTCTCCTGATTTAGCGTCTCCATGACCTTAATACTATCGCGGGATTGTACATCGGGCGAAAGCCTTAGCTACCCTTGTAACGTTATCCCCGACATTGCAAGTCATACAGCTCACAGGCAGACTCTGCGTCAGTTCCTCAGCAAACCCTGCACATAAATCATGCAACAAACCACACATGTTCCTGTCGTCACGCATGTCTCGCTCACGCATCGCACGTCGCGTTGATTCGCAGAGCGCATTCTCCAACTATCTATCACTTCTCTATAAACGCGATAGTCAAAGGTCCATTTTAAAATAAATTTAAGGTGATCTACACTAATTTGATTATTGACTGGTGTTGCTTTTGGGACTGGTAATGAGACTTTTGACCTGGGATGGTGCTGATAGTGAGACTTACTCTAGCACTCACTGCAAGCTCTTTTTGTGGCAAATGCTAAACGACTGAGTTCAGGTTTTTTATTCGGCTGGTTCATTCTGATTCGTTATCAGAAGTAGCTCAGAAATACGCCCAATTGAGTCAGGAGTGGATTCCAAATACTCAATTCACATTACTGTTTACTTACGCACTTGCCCATACGAAGTAGCACGAGGCGCACGCATTGATGCAGCACCGAATTCTGTCTTATCCCCACGCCGATCACATCGACCACATTGTGTCACACAATAAAGATGTGTTTTAGGGGCTGATTGCCGCTGTTTGCGACACCAAAATCATTCGTCTGTTCCATCCTCTAAAATCCATGATCATCTATGGCGCTGTAGCGGAGCTACTAAGCGCTTCTTAACAGAGGAATTTCTAGACTCGAAGAGTCTCTTAGTTATAACAAACTTACAACGACGTACAGTCGTTCAAGCGTACAAGCTAATCAATCACGGTTTCAAAGGGATTACGATTCTCAGAATCACACACCAACTAGTCACTACTAGTAAAACAAGAGTAAGCAACTTTACAAGGCTAATGCTCTTAACAACAAAACTAATCCTTTACTAGGCACTTGTGTGCAACGTTTTGAGAGAAGAAATGAACTTTACTTATTCTTCAGATACAATAATAACCCGTAAAATCTTGTCTGACTTCTACATAACAAGGTTTTACCTACTAAGCCTAATGGTGTAAAACACCTGCAGGAATGGCTCTAGTTACGATTTTATGATAGAAGTCTTGTACCTTATTTCGAATCGATAAGGTGCGATATACCGCAAGTACATGGTACCAATACTGCACCACTCAGATCCACCTATCTTTACTTGGTGTGGACACACAACGTAACCGGCTGAATAACCGCTGTGCACCCATTACAGGCGCCGTCACTCGCGTGCACTAATCTACGGCGCGTCAAGTAAGCGGCCTTGACTGTTACCAATTCGTAAGCGACCGAACCTTAATCGCCAATTGTTCACGCATCAACCATTTCCATCCAGCGTGTGGTAGATCAATACTCCTTCGAATTCAAGCACTCATCAGATCCGCGGACATCTTACAATTTTAGAGTATATTGGAAGCGCACAGTGCGTCTCAGTCCATGACGTCTGCACATGTATTGTACTAAGGACGCTATAACGTGGCCATTCGGTTCTTCTGACGTCGTAAGCACCGCAGCAGCTACGTATCGCTTGACCCAGTACTTCATATTTTTAGCTGTACCTGCTGATCAAAATACCTTTGGTGCAGGCTTCACGACCTCAATTGGTCTTGATTTTGAAATAGCTCTTCCAAAGGATGTTATCTGGTGAAAGATTAAGCTCGCCTTTCATGACTTCCATGTCATCTTCACCGTAATGAAGGAACTCCACTTTGCTTGTAATTAGACGGATGCCCTTCTGCCAGTACGAATCAGCGCGTCTTCCAAGTTGCAAAGCGGGCATACATAGCACGGCCCAGTCCATGAGGAAAACCCTCTTACTCGAGACGAAGATGTTTGTGCTTTTGTCATACAGACACGACGAGGAGGATGCGGCACGCCCACGTGTATCGCATACGGCTGCTGTAACGGGGTGAATCGTTACATAACAATTTATAAGAAATTGTTAATAGAATGTAACTATCAGAGTTATATTCTCAGAATATTGTCATAAGGACAAATATTCTGTTGCACTTACGAGTAGTTCCTAATTGGTTGATATAGGCCATTATATCAACCAACTAAGACGCGCCACGACAGACGCACGCAATGAGTGGTGAGCAGATAGTTGATTTACACATTTGTATTTAGACATAGTTCGATGAGGACAAATAGTGATTTATTGCAGACATTAACTATACTAAATACAGTTCTACTTTTTACTCTAACCAAGTACTCGCTTCTTCTACCGTCTTCCTCTGCACGTACGAGTGTACGTGAAGTTCGAGGCACCGCCTTATTCTGTCATCAGAATAAGTAGCTTGTACTGTTACCAGTACAAGCTTCAGGGTGCCCCGTTACACCTGGTAGCACTTCGTAGTCCGTCCAAGGACCACGATCACATCTAACATGAATATGTTGGATGATGAAGATGACCAAAGCTTTCACGCTACGCGTGACGGCTACTCCCATTTGAGCGATGTCGAATGGGATGCGGTTGAACGAATGGGCTCAACCGTGGGCATCCATGCTGTTAGCGTCATGCTAGAGGCTCTTAATAGAGATGCCCAGCATGCTACTATCGCCAAGTTCATTCAAAATGAACTTGACGCTGAACGCGAGAAAGTAGCCTTGCTTCACCAACAAGGTTCTCAACAGGCAGAGTTGTTAAGAGAACAGGGTGTCTAACAGTTTGAACTGTTGAGACAGCAGCAGGCTGCTGCTGGTGGGTCGATGCACTCGCGTCGACCCGAGACCTTGAAGATTGACATCTCTAAGTATAGGGGAGTCGAAGAGGACTCCCTCCTGAGATGGTTTGTCGAATTGGATGACGCCATAAGGGCGCGTCGCATCGACGACGGGGATGTGCAAGTTGCATTTGACCAATCAAATTTGACAGGACGTGCCAAGACTTGGGCATTGGGGCTCAAGTTGCTCGACCCATATGCTTTTGGGTCGTTAGAAGTCTTCAAGCCGCGGCTCAGACAAACTTTCGAACCGCCTAGAGCTGAGTTCAGAGCTCGAACTGAACTCTTGAAGCTCAAACAGGGCAAGCGTGATGTGCACGCTTACGCACAACATATACGACATCTCACGAGTTGTATAAGTTCCAATCCGGTGGATGAACACACGTTGGTTTCGGTCTTCATGCAGGGTCTTGCGGATGGTCGAGTCAAGACTCACCTGTTCCGACTTGAACTAGATTTACTAGAACAAGCCATTTCCATTGCGGAGCAGGAAGACTTCAGTCTGAGACAGGCTCGCGTCAGCTCGACATCATATCGTCCACTGAGACGATATGACAGCGGAGGTCTAGAGCCGATGGAACTCTGGTATGTAGAGAGCGAGAAGGATCGCTCTACAGACTACAAGAAGTTGCAGAAATGCAACAGATTTCAAAAGACAGGACACTACGCTTACGAGTGTAGTGCCCCTCGTCCAGTGTCTCGCAACACTGGGCGCAATGACCGTCCACCCATGAGAAAGGGGCAGGGACTCCGGTCCGCTGTTGGTGCAAAGACGCAACGACGGGATGGACCGTCAAGAAACGGACAGGATCAGTAGGTGCGGAGCACCCTACTGGTCCAGCAACGTCAAGAGAATTTGTAGGCCTCTTGATGAAGGTTGCTCCCAACACACAAACGTTGTTCGTTGCTGCTCTAGGTAATGAGGTCTCACTCATTACCTTGAAACTCGAAGTGACGAATAAGTTGTCCCTTCGAGCTCTAGTCGATTGTGGGGCGTCCAACAATTTTGTGCAACGCCAATCGCTAGAAGATGGTCACTTTAAGTTCAGTGAATGTGACACACCTCCTACGAGGATGACGGTACGGCTTGCGACAGGCGCATCCGTAACCGTCATGAAATGTATAGTGAAGATTCACTATACGCTAGAAGATACCCAATATGACGATGACTTTATCGCATTGGATTTGGATGACAAATTTGATGTCATCCTTGAAATACCGTGGCTCAGAAGGTACGAACCACGAGTAAACTGGCAACATCGAACAGTAACGATGCCTGCCACTTGTTCATCAGATGACCATCTGATGAGCGTTTTGGAGCGTCCACAAGCGTGTTGATGTACTACGAGTGAGTGCGATGGCTTCGCTTGTGGTACGGTCGTCAGTACGACTGCTCAAAACCTTAGTGTAACAAACGGTTACACTTCAGAGCAAAGTTCCGGCGGCTGTGAGGAAACACAGGCTGCGCCGAAGGTCCACCACTCGAATAAGTCGAGTGGACCGAGACAAAGATGTATCCCTAGCGGGGAACATCTAGAAGAGAAACAATCGATCGCTCAGGTTAAGTGAAACGATAATCCTAGATCGACTGGAGAGTCTTTCGTAGGGGATCTAGCTGTGGTCGCGCAACCACAGCTAGAGGAAGTAAAGGGAATAAGTCCCGATATTAAAAATACGGCGGAAATAAGTTCCCCGAAACCCGAGGCAATAAGTCCCCGGGAAGCCGAAGGAATAAGTCCTTCGAGGCCTGAGGGAATAAGTCCCCAGGAAATGACAGAGACCTTGAATGTCATAGTCAATGACGGATCAAGTGTAGGCGCTTATACACTTGATCTGATTGCGCCTCCGAAGTTGACTTCGGAGATCACTCAGTTGCCAAAGCTCGAACATAAAAGGTTCTTGCGTGATCTGCGTAGTGGCAAAGTCAAGTAGATAGTGTACTCGTCGCTGACGACGAGTGCGTAGCCGAAATAAGATCAGCAACAGTGTTTACTGAGAACGCGAGAGTTCTCAGTAGTTCATCGATGGACGAGAGTGTCCTAGATGAAAAGACACGAATTGAGCGATATGACTCCCAATCGTGGGAATCGCTCAAGACAAATTCTCTCTATGAAGATTTGGTTGAATTCAAGGATGTATTCCCTGAAACTGTTCCGTGCGAATTACCGAAGGATAAAGGTATTCGACACGAGGTCGAGCTTAAACCAGGCTCGAAGTACTGTGTCATGAAGCAGTGGCCACTGCCTCTTGAACAAGTACTTGCGATCGACAAGTTCTTTGCCGATCGTTTAGCTGCGGGCCATGTGAGGGAATCAACTTCCCCACATAGCTCTCCTACCTTCTGTGTGCGAAAAGCAACAGGAGGGTGGCGGATAGTGCACGCGTTCAACAAATTGAACGCTGCAACGGTACCGGCTTAGACGCCGATACCAAGGAAGGACGTAATTATTGATGGTATGTCAAAGAGTACCATCTTTTCGTCCATGGATTTGATGGATGGCTTCTATCAAATCCTTATGCGAGAACGGGATATACCCTATACCGCAGTTAGCACGCCTAGCGGCATGCTCTGGGAATGGCTAGTAATGCCACAAGGGCTTAGTAATGCCCCTGCCACGTTCAACAGATGTGTATCACATCTGGTGAGACCAGTACGAGAATTCGCGCCGAGTTATTTCGATGATGTATTCATCCATAGTCGAACTATGGATGGAAAGTCAGACGTTGAGGTTCACAGGTACCAAGTCCGACAGGTTCTTACAATCATGCGAAAGCATCATTTGTATGCAAACCTCAAGAAGTGTATATTTGCAGCAAGCGAAATACCACTTCTTGGGTGCATCGTTGGTAAAACGGTGTACGTCCTGATCCCGAAAAGATCAAGGCGATCACCGACTGGCCTGTGCCAGTTGATGTCAAAGGTCTTCGAAAATTCCTTGGGCTAGCGGCGTATTTGCACAAGTACTCACGCAATTACGCCGAAATGACTGTACACCTCTCTCGTTTGTTGAAAAAGAACGAGAGATGGTTATGGAAAGCTGAGTGCCAGCGCTCCTTTGATGGTATCAAGCAGAGCTTGATACAATCCCCAGTCCTAGCAATAGCCGATCAGGACAGGCCATTTCATGTGGTCTGTGATGCCAGCGATTTCGCAATCGGCTGTGCATTAATGCAGTACGATCTTGAAGGCGTTGAACGCGTCGTCTGCTATCAGTCGCGTCAGCTGCAACCAGCTGAGCGGAACTATCCAGTGCATGACAAGAAACTCCTTGCCATGAAGTATGCACTCGCGAAGTTCAGAGTCTATCTACTAGGAGATAGACCCTTCATTGTTTACACTGACCATGCGTCATTACGCACGGCAGTGAACAGCCCGCACCTTTCACAACGAATGGCGCGGTGGTTGTCATTCTTTGCAGAATACAACTTTACGGTCGAGTACAAACCAGGACGACTTAATGTCGTTGCTAAGGCACTCTCACGTCGGCCCGACTTTGAACCAGTCGTGAAACCCAACAGTGAGACAGCCACTGTTGCGGTCATGACGTCCTCAGTCCCATCTCAACGTTACATGATGATATGAGGCGGGCGTATGCCCAAGATGGTGAGATTGTGAAGTTGTTGACACATCTCTCACAACCATCTCGATAATCGTTGAAACGATTGTCGCCTGCGTATAGATCTGCATCAGATCGATACACTACTCGAAACGGGTTACTGTATTATACAGCCGTTACTGGTGACACACCACGTGTTGTCATTCCAGATGATACTGATCTGCGTTTGCGGATCTTGTTCGAGTATCACGATGCTCCTATAGGAGGACATCGTGGCCGGGAGAAAACATATCTCACGGTGAGTCGAGACTTTTACTGGCCCCGCCAGTATCAGTTTGTGCGAAAGTATGTTCGCGCATGCGAAGTCTGTCAGCGAGTGAAGTCAAGTCCTGCACTGCGTGCACCTTTACAGCCTCTACCGGTTCCGGCTGAGTGTTGGGAATCCATCTCAATGGATTTCGTCTTCGGCTTACCCAAAGACGCACGCGGGAATACGGGTATTCTCGTATTTGTTGACAGATTCAGCAAAATGGTCCACCTTGTGGCTGTACCAGAGTAAATCACGGCAAGTGGCTGTGATTGTGTCTTTATTGACACCATCTTCCGACTTCATGGGTTGCCCCGTGAACTCGTACCAGACAGAGATCCACGCTTCACTGCTGATTTCTGGCGTTCCGTGTTCAAATTACTCGGAACGCGCTTGAAGATGTCGACATCTGATCATCCAGAGTCAGATGGTCAGACGGAACGTGCCAATCGTGTCCTCGAAGAGATACTTCGAGGATACGTACACTCCTTTAAGAGTTGGAGTGAGTTCTTGCCAATGGTAGAGTTTTCCATCAACAACTCGGTGGATGCGTCCACGAAACATACACCGTTTTACGTGAATAGCTTACGCCATCCGCGTGTGCCCACCTTACTAGAGTGTAACTCTGGTTTAAGGGGGGGGACTCGCGCGAGCAAAAACCGATTTGGTTCACGCTCATAACGCTCTGACGAAGAGGTCATTGCGTTTGATGCAGATATCGACAACATCGATATCGAAGAAGATGATGCCAGTGAGACGAGGAAGCCCTCACTGAAGAAAATATTGATGTTGCTGCAGTGCACTCACAGCGCACTGAAGCTAACGAGTCATCAGATGAGTTCATACTGGCTCGTGAAACGGTAGTCCGTTTTGTGCAAGACTCCATCGCCGAAGCGGTGGATAAGCAAAAGCAAAACGCTGATAAGAATGGAAGGGCAAACACTCTTTTATTTAATAAAGTTGACTTAGTCCTACTGTCTACGGTTAATCTACCAAAGCATGTAGTGACTAACTTGGGTAGCAGTAAGCTTCTACCCAAGTACATCGGCCCATTTCGTGTATTGCATCGCCTAGGCAACGCATACACGATCGAACTGCCACGTAAGATGCGAACGCATCCCACGTTTTATGTTGGTCGGCTTGAGACGTACCATCAGTACGCTGCTTCTTCCGATGAAGAACGCCCTTGCGCTCAAGCATCTCGCAGAGAGCCTTGTGCTCCCGATGGTGGGCATCGACAAGGGTCTGAAGAGCAGTTATCTCATCCCGAGACCGATCAACAATCCCACGAGCTACCCTTAGCTCGTCACGCAGAGACGTCAGAGCTCTCTCGTTCTCGAGATGAGCAAAGGCAAACTCATCTCGATGCTTCAAGATAGTGTCCGCCAGTTGGAGACGCCTGTCCCGCTCATGTTCGAGATCGCCGCGTAACGCAAGCGTTACGCGATCAAAGAGGCTCTCGGGGATACACGCTTCCCCACGATAGTTTGGAGAGCGTCTTTTTTCCTCCTCCATCTCCATTAGAGGACTCTCGCGGTGGCCAGCGCTATCTGGTTGAGCATCTGTTGAATCACCGCGATGTGGACGGACGTCGGACGAGTTACCTCGTCCGGTCGCGAGTCTATCCCCCGTCCTGGGATACTTGGGAGCCCCGCTCACGACTGATGGTTGACGTACTGGGTCTGGTCGAGCAGTACGACGCGGCACATCCTGTGCCGCAGAAGTGAAGCTGGAGAAAGTCTTCCCGGCACGGTCGTAAAGGGATTCAGGTTGTCAATCCCTTCGTACATCTCACTAGAGATACGTGTGCACCACCACGGGCTAGTAAGGAGGTAAGCCTCCTTAGGTGCTCGTGCAGAGTTGTTCACACAACAAGGGCACGGGTCTCTTCAGGAAAGACAGGGTAACCCAATCTCCCTAGACAGACGATGCAGCTTGTAGCGTGCACCTGTCGGGGTTCTTTTCTCGAACTTATCACGAGCTTTGATAAGTTTGTCGTTCCATACGTCACGACCTACATCCTCAAGGTTATGGATGTAGGCGATCCACGCTTGAAGTAGTGAGGGACCATCACGTTTGTGATTCCCACTGTACCATCGATGTTTAAAGAAAGCATCGATGAAGAAATCATTCTCAGCGTGATAGTTTTTCGCACTGGGATCAAGGTGATGGATCCTTGACGAATCGAACAATCGTGTTCGATAACGATCACTCGTCGTCGCCGACAAGGGATCCATGACTGACTTTAAAGGCAGCCATGCTTTCTTTTCGGGAGCGAGACGCAACGCACTGCGGTCCCGCTCTGCCTGCAACGTGCCGACAGAAGTACTGGCACCTCGTTGCGAAGTGGTGTCAATAGGAGAACCCACACCACTGTTAGCGCCCGAGTCTCGCGACCTCGAGCGCCTTCGCTTCGGCGATGATTCATCTGATTTGTCAGATGAACCGACGATGCTACGACGAGTAGCATCATCCATGCCACGCTTGGCAGGCGGCTTGGTTTCGATCGCCGTCGATACGCATCCTTCTTCCGTATCAGGAGAGTATGAGACACCGAGCTCATACTCTGTGAAGACATGAGTGTCTTCATGACGAGCGCCTGCATCACCAGGTGATACAGGCTGAGTTGCTACAGCAACCGATGAGATATCAGTTGCTGTGGTTTCTGCTTCGGCGTCCGCACAGAGACGTGCGGACGCGCTCTCGGCGGCCTTGCTCGCGCACCGCATGGGCTTGTTAACCATGCGATGAACTGTTGGAAAGTGGACTCGGACCAACAAGTGCAAACCCTGTCCCAAATGATTTGGGACGAGTATCCATTTAGTCAATCGGTCACTAAAGTGACTGATGGTTAAGGGGGGGGGTGATGTAACGGGGTGTATCGTTACATAACACTTTATAAGAAATTGTTAATAGAATATAACTATAAGAGTTATATTCTCAGAATATTGTCATAAGGACAAATATTCTGTAGCACTTACGAGTAGTTCCTAATTGGTTGATATAGGCCATTATATCAACCAACTAAGACGCGCCACGACAGACGCACGCAATGAGTGGTGAGCAGATAGTTGATTTACACATTTGTATTTAGACATAGTTAGATGAGGATAAATAGTGATTAATTAACAGACATTAACTATGATAAATACAGTTCTAATTTTTTACTCTAACTAAGTACTCGCTTCTTCTTACCGTCTTGCTCTGCACGTACGAGTGTACGTGTTTTTGTTTCGAGGCACCGCCTTATTCTGTCATCAGAATAAGTAGCTTGGGCTGTTATCAGTACAAGCTTCAGGGTGCCCCGTAACACAAATACTCATCAGATCCAAGCACACTTTACGATTTTTAGAGTATATCGGAAGCGTATAATGCGTCTCAGTCCATGACGTCTGCACAGGTATTGCACAAAGCACGCTATAACGTATCAATTTGGTTCTTCTGACGTCGTAAGCACCGCAGCAGCTACGTATCGCTTGACCCAGTACTTCATATTTTTAGCTGTACCTGCTGATCAAACATCTTTGGTGCAGGCTTCACGACCTCAATTGGTCTTGATTTTGAAATAGCTCTTCCAAAGGATGTTATCTGGTGAAAGATTAAGCTCGCCTTTCATGACTTCCATGTCATCTTCACCGTAATGAAGGAACTCCACTTTGCTTGTAATTAGACGGATGCCCTTCTGCCAGTACGAATCAGCGCGTCTTCCAAGTGGCAAAGCGGGCATACATAGCACGGCCCAGTCCATGAAGAATTCCTTTTACTCGAGACGAAGGTGTTTGTGCCATCGTTATATCGACACGATGAGGAGGATGCGGCACGCCCAAGTGTATCGTAGACGGTTGCGGTGACAAGGCCGCACTTGCGTGTTTTCCACAATGGGTTATTGTGCGCGTAGTGAAAAAAAACACATCTGTGTTGTTGTTGCTCATATCATCACTTCCGGATTCACGACTTTTTACGCAGACGAGCACCGTGGCACAAGAAAGGATGCTAAAAGCTCACGCGTACTGCCGACCTTAGAACTTTGCACAGCGCTGCGATTACCCCGAGTGGGAGGCTCGGCGCGCACTTACCGCGCCTCTCTTACCGTGGATCGCTGAGGAGCCGGGTTCGGATGGAGCTGTAGATGCATGCCCGCCCATGCGTTTCGGTCCTGCTGAAGAACGGCAAGCCAAGTCTTCAGAGCCTCGTGCTCAACACGGCAGCCGGACGACTTTCGAATACGGCTGAGGTCAGCGGACTTGTCGATGAACCTGGCTCCGCCGATATCAGCCTACGGGAACTCGGCGATTTTCGCTGACAGGCCCTCGGCGAGTTTCGACAGGACCTCGAAAAGGTTTACTGACCGGCCCTCTAAGAGTTCCGACCGACCCTCGACGAGTTTCGCCAACCGGTGTTCGACGAAAGTCACTGTCCTAACGCCGCCGACGTTAACGTCCAGAACCCGAATGCCGTTCGCTTTCCTGGTTCCATTGATCTGACCAGTCACGGTATCTACAAATCCGTCCACCCAGACACCAACATGAATCTACCTGGTGGGGTCGGCCTGTGCGACTGATCCGGCTCCGGTGCTGTGGGTTCTAGTTTGCTGCAGGAACGTGGGTGGAGAAGGCGGTATATGATCTGCGTCCGAGAATTCCGTTTGAAGAGGAGGCTCTTGCGGCATGGGTGATGGGGGTCGTCGTGCTTTAGTCTCCGCCTCTGTTGTTGATATGCACGCACCCGCGCACTACGCGGATTGTGATGCTTGTTATTTTTAAAGCATACCTGGAAGGGCAAGTGATTGCAATTGATTCTTCGTACGTGCGCATACCTCAGTACATCGCTGAGAAATCGTTGCTAGTCCAGATCTTGGAACGCAGTGCGGGGCAGGCGGAGTCCGATGTCTTGAGTCAGGAACTGGTCAAGGGTGCCAAGCGGACAAGTTATGACGCTGAAACGATGCGACTAACACTCGTTATGCCGGATCAAGCAGCTGCTGAGTGATAGCATGCAAAGACGATTCTGTTTCGGGGCAAGCGTCTTCAGATTTTGTGTCCAGCTACTATGGACCACGACGACTCTACTTCTCCATAGCCACCAGCTACGTCAGCCAGTCGACACCACTTGCAATATGAAATCCCGGAATTTAGTCAATGGAGTGGAGTCAAGCACGGTTTAAGCTATTTTGGTGTCCAGTGTGTCATGTGTGGTCACAGCCGTGTTTCGTGGGGGATCACACGGCTCGGAGATGTATGAGCTCAAACTTTTTCGCGGTGACTTTCGACACGGTATCATGTCCCGAACAACTAAAGTTGACAACGCACATCGCTACCTCCGGCACAGAAATCTTCCTCCACTATTTTTGGCACTTCCAAAGGGTTCCCTGTTTTACCTGCTACTTGCCATATCACTCGAGTGTAAAGTGCGGCGGGCCCAACGGCGCCTTTCAAGTTCAGCATTATCGCGAATTCATCGGTATGCATATTGCTCCTCCTCACGTCAGTGGGTTGACTTCCAACCACTTGGACGTTGCTGGTCGTCTGCAGCCTTTCTCTGTATTGGCGGATGCTTTGGTGGCTACCACAGCAAAGTTAAGGCGGATGGCGACAAGGCCCCCCTGTTAAGTAAGGTCTCGTCAACACCTCCTCGTTCTGAGCAATCTGAAGATTCCACCACGTCATCTCTCGATGGCAGCCAGGCCGCTCGTAACGTCGCTACTCGCATCGACGAACAAGCAGTTTGATTCTGGCGCGAGCCAGATGAAGCGAGATTGGTAACTTCCCGGAATTTCGTCCAGTTCAGCAAAGGGATCTGCTGTGAATCCACCCAAGCATCCGCATTACAACAAGGTTAAAAGATCAAGAAAGTCACCTCCCCGAAGTAGAAGGTTTCTGCACAGAACACCTCTACAAAAACGGTCACAGAAAAAAGAAAGCCACCTCACACGACTAAGTTAACGGTTTCTTCTACATGCGATATGACCGCTGTCCTTTTCGCGCCAACGCTCTCTGCTACATCCAAGGCAAACAACTAGCGCACGCAGGCGATTCGTGAATTGGACCAACTGCTGGGAGGTGATCACGAAGTTGCTACAGCAACCCCAAAAATTAACTCGGGGGTCAATTCGTCGCTAAGTCCGAAGAAGCTGAAAGATAAGGCGCTTGAGGCAGTTTGGTAACAAGTAGCGGCCGCACGAAAAGCCGTTGAGGAACTTGCTACGACAGCCGCAGAGTAGCAGCGCGCGTCAGACTCAAAGAAATCTTGCTACTTCGAACCCAAGCTCATGCGCTCGAAGAGGATAGATTTGCTGAGCCAACGAGTGCTGGCGTCTCTACCTCTCTCGACAAAGACAGTGGAGACTTGCTGAGGATGGAGTATGAATACCATACCATGGGTGCGACCGCGAACTGAGCGAGCGCGGATGCAGCGAGCACAGTAAATCCCTTCGAAGATTGACGCACTGGCTAGCAAAGACCTAAGAAGACCGGGACCGAGATCTAGGTTTCACGAGATGAGACACCACCCCGCGCGCTGCCAGCTTAGCTGGCGGAACGAAGCAGAGAGCGGATTCGGTCGATGATTTAGCGCTGGTTGGCTTATTATATTCGCCGCATGCATGGTATCGCAATTGTGACGACCTAGCAACCATCTTGTACAGTACCAACCGCAGCAAAGCCTCGTGAAATAGTTCCGTCCGAACTGCAACCGACGAGATCCCGGGCATTGAATGGGCCCTAGCCACAGGATGTAAAAGTTACTATGGCGGAGAGTACGTTTACGTTTGGGAACACCATGTGCCTAAATGATCTGGGTGGAGAGGCTGTAACGACGCCTCCCTGCTCCGCTAGTGTAACTATTCCAGCAAAACTAGCCAATGCGATCGAGGAAGCGCTCAAGGCCTCGTCTGTAGTTATCAAATACCCCTCTGGTTGACGATAGGGCCGCTAGAATGGATGATCTATGTACTCAAGTAGCAGTCCGGTCCCCGATTGAACATTTTATCACTCCCGATCCTCACGACTAGAATTTAAGCGTAACTAGAGTGCGCAAAATAACAGAAGCCGCATCTGCTGCATTGGCAGTTGCTGCACTATGAGAGAGTAAATATTTTTTTAGCGAACACAGCTGCAATTCTTGAATGGGTCAGCTAGCTTCAAGTAGTTGATACACTTCCGGCTACCATGCCAAGGCTAAATGGCGTGGATAAACCCGTGCGCCTTAAATTGGCGGAAATCATGATTGACCTGCCTTATCCAGTTGCTTGTTGAGGTTTACGTACCACGACATGAATTGTGTGTCGTGTTTATGGCAACTTGCAGGGACAGGGCTCTTCGAACATTCTGGATGAGCGACCACTTTATGAGGGGATTCATATATGCATTTTAGCAGTAGTCTTTACTCTTAATACTACTTTCCATTTTAAGCACTGAGAAGTAGTTGTCTGGTTGTTATAGGTTATGAGCCTAAATGCGTTGGCCCCCAACGTTCTGTAAGTATGATATCCTTACAGATGATAACTACTTCATGTGGGAATTTAACGCGCGCATGACCCTTGCACGCAAGGATCTATTGGATCATGTAATGGTGAAGCCAGAGTCGGCAGTGCTACGGAAATTACCCGAGTGGAAAGTCGCCGATATGAAGGCTCTGGCTGTGCTGGTGAAGTTACTCTCACCCACCTATCAGTGTATGGTTCGGGAATGTGAGACAGCCCTTGAGGCTTGGGAGGTATTGCAGACATTCTTCACGAAGAAGAACCTCCACAAGCGGGTGCAACTTCGGAAACAACTACATGAATTTGTGATGGAAACTGGTACGAGTCTAATGGACCACCTACTGAAGTTTGATGAGCTTTGTTTGAAGCTCAGGGCTGCTGGTGACAGCATGGATGATGATGAGAAGCTAGTACTTCTCTTGGGAAGCTTATCATCTGAATATGATGATATGGTGCGCATAATTGATGCGCACAGCAACGTGACGCTGTTGGACGCAAAAGAGATGCTCCGGCGGGAGTATGACACGCTACAGAAACGTGATAAGAAGGAAACTGCATTTAAAGCACACGCACAACCCAATGTGAATCGACGCTTTCAAGGAAACCGAGGGCACCATGGCCGTCAGAACGATAAAGATCGAAACCAAGCTTTCAGACGAAGGAACGACAACGCAAGATTTCAAGGCAAGTGTTTTACTTGTGGAAAACATGGTCACAAGAGTTCGCAGTGTCACAGCGTGAAACAGTCAAGATCTGGCGATGAATTTGTTTTCTCAGCATCAAGCGAGAAATTGGAGTCAAGTGCAACTTGGCTGCTGGATAGTGGTGCAAGCCGTCACATGACTGATGACGAGCGTGATTTTGTGGAGTATGAAAATCTGACTACCCCAATTAGCATCACAGTTGCCAATGGACAGCATCTGATGGCGAAAGGAACGGGGTCGGTGCGATTTGTACTGGAAAATAGCCGCACAGTTATGCTGAAGAAAGTTCTTCATGTGCCTAAATTGGACAAGAAGCTTGTATCTGTACCAGCACTGACAGCCCGAGGTGTGCTTGTGCAGTCCAAGCGTAATCAAGCAGTCCTAACATCCAATGGGATTACGGTAGCAGTGATTAATCGAGTGGGAAAATTGTTTGCGTGGAATGTGAAGCAGGATGTGGTATTGGAGGCGTACAAAGCCGAGAGCACGACCAAAGAAGATGATGAAAGTGGACCGTGGCATGCTCGCCTTGGTCACGTATCGACAAGCAAGCTTAATCAAGTAATGAAGGCGTGCGACGGTATTACGAAATTGTCGGCAACTGAAGACGGTGTTTGCGATGGGTTTTCACGTGGAAAAATGACGAACAGTCCGTTTCGTCATACCTCAGGGAGTACAGTCAAAACAAGTCAACCACTTAAGATTGTTCATACTGATCTCATGGGTCCGATGAACCCGAAATCAAAGGGTGGTGCCCTTTATGTCCTCACATTTATCGACGACTATAGCCGATTCGTCTATGTGTACTTACTTGCTGCGAAGTCACAAGCGTTTGAACATTTTCAGGACTTTCGCGTGATGGTGGAGACACAAACGGATCGCAAGATCAAGTGCATCAGAAGTGACAATGGTGGTGAGTTTACAAGTTACCGGTTCAACAAGTACTGTGTGAATCATGGTATCATACACCAAACAAGCGTGCCATATACTCCACAGCAAAATGGATTTGCTGAGAGAATGAATAGAGCGCTTGCTGAAATGGCACGTTCGATGTTGAGCCATATGGAGGTGGATAGAATGTGGTGGGGTGAAGCTGTTATGATAGCTGCGCACACACTAAACCGAATTCCGAACACAGCGCGTCCCAACAAGAGTCCATTTGAAGTGATGAACGGTTCGAAACCTGACTTAAGTTACTTTCGTGTATTTGGATCTACTGGTTATACACGAGTAGCGGATTGCAAGCGGACCAAATGGGACAACAAGGCTAACAAGTGCATTTTTCTGGGTTACTCGGAGTCATCAAAGGCGTACCGTGTGTGGGATGTGGATCGAGAACAGTTGGTAGTGACTCGTTCTGTCACACTGGACGAAAGGCCTCCTTCACGATACAAGAATATTGTTGTGAGTGAAAATTGTGTCAAAATCACACAAAAGCACGATGATAGAGACGAAAATGCGGTAAATGTACCCATTTTAGCGGATTCTCATGATGTGGAAGACATGGAAGTTGATGGAGCAGATGATGTTGACCCTAGCCGGGAAGACATGGTTGTGGATGCCTATGGCGAGGACAACAGGTCGGAAAATTTGGAGATTGTTCCGATTGAAGGGGAGCGTACAGATGAGCGGACAGGTGAAAAAATTAGAGAATTGTGCACACTAAGTGGAGGCGTTGATGAGAAGGGTCATCAGCGCACGCACATGCTCCAAGACATTTGCGATCGCTCAAATGCAATTGTACCGCGTGAGGAGCAGTACAACCAGGAGGACAGACTTGAGGTATACACTGGGTCGAGTAAAAGACGATTAAGTGATGATTCGTACCCTCGTTTGCTTGAAAGTGATAATTCTGGACATGGTCGTGGAAATTTACCACTCTTGACAGATGGACCTGTAGCGGATAATGAGGATGATGCTGACGTAGTCGAGCCTGAAGCTAAACGTCACTGTATGGACGATTACGAAATTTCGCTTTCTGCCACTGTTGTACCCACGACTTACAACGAGGCAATACAGTCATCAGAGTCAAAGCAATGGAAAGCAGCAATTCTGACCGAGATTCAAGCTCATGAACGCAATCACACATGGGATGTTGTTCGCCGCCCGTCTGGTGTCAAGGTTATTGGAAACAAGTGGGTTTTTGGGCACAATTTTGATGAAAATGGTGAAATTGTGCGTTATAAGGTGCGTTTGGTTGCTCTTGGATACCTGCAAACGCATGGTTTTGATTACTTCAATACGTACTCACCGGTTGCGTGCTCAAACACAATTCGCACGTTTCTTGCGGTTTGCTGCAGTATGAAATATGTGATACGACAATTTGATGTGGAAACAGCCTTTCTAAATGGAGACTTGGAAGAAGACGTTTACATGGAGCCACCACCAGGGATAAAATTTACGTCTGGATCGGTTTGCAAGCTAAGACGAAGTTTGTATGGCTTAAAACAAGCCGCAGCAGTTTGGTACAAGAAGATATGCTCTGTATTTGTGACTTTAGGCTTTTAACAATGTCGTGCAGACACTTGTCTTTTTGTTCGACGTCCCAGTACTAAAGTCAAGTCACTTTCGTACATAGTGCTGTATGTGGATGATATTCTCATCGGATGCAAGTCGAATGCAGAGGATGATGGAATTTACAAAGAATTGGCAGCTCATTTCTCGGTGAAGTCGCTTGGAGCTGCGCGATTTATTTTGGGTATGGAGGTGAACTATTCTCTAGAAAAGGGAGAGCTGGTTTTGAAACAGACTCAATTTATCAAGAACATGATCACGGATTTCGAACAAGATGGTGCTTACGAAGTTCGCAGTCCAATTATCGCTGGTCAAGATTTGACCCCTACTGACTCGCAGTGTGATTTTAAAAACAGCACTTTGTATCGAAAACTGGTGGGTTCCCTGATGTACATCGCGAATGCTACGCGACCTGATATCAGCTACACGATGTCGGTGTTATCGCAGTATTTGGAGAAGCCAAAACAGATGCACTGGCGTGCAGCGTTGCGAGTTTTGCATTACCTGATGGGAACACAATCACACGGGATTGTATACAAGAGATCGGACAGCAATAAAATCATGCTTTGCGCCTACTGTGATGCAAACTGGGGAGGTGACAAAAGTACTCGTCGCTCGACCTGTGGTGTTTAAATTTTGCTTGGAAACGCGGTTGTTGTATACAAGAGCAAAAGACAAAGCTCGGTGGCTTTGTCTTCGGCTGAAGCTGAGTATAAGTCATTGGGCACTAGCTACTCAAGAGATTGTGTGGATTCGCTATTTGCTGATGGAAATGGGTGTCGCGTGCACGAGTGCAACCACTGTGCATATGGACAATAAGTCGGCGATAAGCATTGCGACAAATCAAGGATATACGCCAAGAGCCAAGCACATTGACCTGAGGGTGCATTTCGTCCGAGACCACATTGAGCAGCGCACACTTCAGCTCAAACATGTTCCGTCTATTATGCAGCTTGCTGATTACCTAACGAAGCCACTAAGTGCACCACAACTGCTACGTCTGCGTGATGCAAGTGGAATTCATGAGAGTGCAAGTTGAAGGGGAGTGTTGAGGTTTACGTACCACGACATGAATTGTGTGTCGTGTTTATGGCAACTTGCAGGGACAGGGCTCTTCGAACATTCTGGATGAGCGATCACTTTATGAGGGGATTCATATATGCATTTTAGCAGTAGTCTTAACTCTAAATACTACTTTCCATTTTAAGCACTGAGAAGTAGTTGTCTAATTGTTATACTTGCTACACTTCTCTCAATTCTCACCCTCGATTGTGTCCATCGGGTGCTTTAAGCGAGGGAGAATATTTGGGGGGGTGCCTTTCATAACTGGAGGACGGACTACTGAGTTTAATGTTTCAGTCTACACCTATGATACACTTGTATGCCTTCGCGATAGGTCTGCAATTTTGCCGCTTATTATTGTTTTCGATGATTCTGCTCACGTGTCGGATCTCCGGACGAATCGGTCGAAGGCAATAGCTATCGAGCAGGAACCTCGTAGCTAAGCGCTACCTCCTAAACTTGTGGCCTCACTATGCAGTATCCTAGTGTTTCTTGCAGGTAGCTTGGTGTTCTGGTGGGATATCAAGATGCGGTGGTCGATAACTGGAACAAGTGCATACGTCTCTCAGAATTTGGACTTGTACTAGCCCGAGAGTAGACTTAAACGGTGGAACAAAGTGATCAGACATCCAGTGCTATCGCAGATCCCAAAATCAACTTCTTAGCATGTCATTTTTGGCCTCCTCCCGCGGTGTTTACCCGGCTGCACAGCATAATTATTGACTTTTTAGAGAGGAACAGACCGTCTATTATACGATATTATGGTTGAATTCGTCACATTATACTTTTTACGGCATCTCCCAGATGGTTTGTTGGTGGAAGGCATGGTTATTCAGCTGTTCACCCGTTACCAATTCCGGTTTCGGCCCCCGGGGGGGTTCGAACCCGCAATCAGCGACTTGTAAGTCAGCTTACTGCGCTACTACACCAGGGGTCCACCCCTTTTAGAATTCGTCACATTATACATTTTACGGCATCTCCCAGATGGTTTGTTGGTGGAAGGCATGGTTATTCAGCTGTTCACCCGTTACCAATTCCGGTTTCGGCCCCCGGGGGGGGTTCGAACCCGCAATCAGCGACCTGGAAGTCAGCTTACTGCGCCACTACACCAGGGATCCACCCCTATTATACGATATTATGGTGTACAATATGTCTGGAAAGACCTAAGCCAGGATAGCAACGCCGGTGTCGGATGACCCGGTGGTTGTACGTGACTCACCGCTGTGTGCGGTGCTCTAGATGGGGCCATGGTGAGCAGTCCAATGCATTGCATCAGACCAGTCCCGGCCACCTGGATGTGTAGCTGTCTACGCTCTCGCAGCGCTAGCGCGTGTAATTGCCGAAAACTTAAAACTGTGCATTCGTGGATACATCCCGCCAAAGTGACGGAATGCCCTTCGTGAAAGACCCGATTGCGTTGCACCCATAACGTCGTGATACATATAGAACAGAATACCCACCACATCCGCTTCCATTGACATACATATGCCTCCATCGAATGTCCAACGCGCTCAGCAGCCGCCGAGAAATGATCGGATGTAACGGCGGGGACTTTCGTGACATGCAAAAACTCGCATAATGCTGCACGCTGACCGGCATCACCGAGCATCCGGTCCAGTAGGTAATGAGTGCCTGCCAGCAACCCTGGGCTACTGGACAACCCCAAAAGATGTGATCCAGAGTCTCTCTCTGCCCGTGACAGACCGAAAGTTTTCGACAGCAGTTATTTAGCTCCCGACCTGGGCTATATAAATTGAGCTGATGCAGCGCCATTCGGTAGTTAACCCACACTTGATACTCGGTGATCGCGTTGCGGTGGCGCCACAAATCTTTCGGTGTCTGATTGAGGGCCGCACAGTATCTTTTGTTGCGTTCCGCCGATTGCTGTAACCGGAGGAGAACACCATTGAGCCCTTTTCCAAGGTCCCCTTTAACCCGCTGGTGAAGTTGTCTATTAATTATTGACTTTGTATGTGTAGTCCGGGACGGTAAGCGGTCACCTTTGGTCCCTTCCGAGATAGCTACTTTATCGAACTCGCAAGGGAGACTAGAGGTGCCTTTTATTCAGACGGAATCGATGACTATGTCGGCAACAGCAGCTGGACAATGGGCAGCTACTGTTTCTTCGATAGACATACTAAAATATGGTTACTTATGGGGGGTGTACAGGGTAGGGTCCGACGTACATTACGTCTTTTTGGACGGATGAAAAGCCTTCACCGTACCGAGCAACTATCTGCATAGCCGGATCTAAATTGTTGTGATTGCTGCGGCTCGACATGCTTGACAATGTATGGTCAGGGAGGGATTGCAGACGAGCCGTCTCGTTTACATAGAGTGCTGCCCCTGTTTATAATGAAAACGTTAGTGTCACAATCGATGTTCGGCGGGTGATTGATAGCGACCTGCGTGCTGGTATGCGAGCTGAGGGAGCGACGTCGGGGCAATTTGACCACTAATGGCTGGTCCACGCCACGCTTAAGGATATGCCGTAGCTGCGAGATGTACGGGGTAAGCCATAAACGAAGCCGACTTTGCGATGGATTCGAATTACCTGGCGAGACACTGTCTTGGACGACCCTGCAGGGTAGTGTTGTCTTGTTCTCCCCACGCATGATATGGTAACCCAGTCTATAGCAAAGCGACGGCATTTTGGTTCCTTCTGTCTCGACCTTCTCAACAGTTTCCCGTCCCCGGTATATCGGCTCTGGAACCTGGAGTTTAAATGCGTACTCAACGAAGATGCACCAGTTTCATGACTGGATTCTAGCTAGTGACGGCGCTTCGATGGTGCTTCGCATCTAATACGGGCATGGAATGTGGGGTGCAACCGGTCTCGTCGATGGCTGCATGTGATATAGCCGCGTCTTTTCCACGTGTTGGATGGACGTCGACGGTGGCGGCCGCAATGTAGAAAACTGAGACATATAATCTCCCGGCAGCACCGTGCTGAAGGAACTAGTCTTTTTGATGAACGAGTGGCAAAAAAGGGCTTTCATGTGATCTCGATAAGTACACCGTCGACCGTGTGGGGAGAAATTCGACGAAGACGTGCACCCTTTACGACAAACGCTCAGACTCTGTATCGACTGAAGAGTAACAGCTTTCCGCCCTGGATTTAGGTGAAGCAAGATTTGATATGTCCCGTCCTTAAGTGTACGGCTGATGGTCCAGCTACGAGAAGTCATATCTTTTGGACATGCTCTAGCGCGCGTCGTCACTGGGCGTTTTTCCTTGATCAGTAGAGATGGATTGTCACTTTCTTGAAGGCTGAACATAATGTCTTGCTGTTTGGACTGGACCACCCGGAGATTCAGCCCAACGCCTGGGAATTTGTCGATCAATCTATGGATCCAGACGTTAGTATATCGAAATCCCATGCTGCAGTTTTTTCGGCAGCTCAAGAGATGCATCGTTTTGTCGTATCAACTGCACTTCATGTCATCTGGCTTATATACCTCCGCCGGGTAGATGACTCGTCTTTATCACAGCACGTGCACATAGCAAGCGCCAAGACTATGTATAGCCGGTCAAATTGACTAAAGGATGCTCACCTTGGAGACCTGATGCGGTTATAAGTACGAACGAGGGTACGAAAAATATCTAGCCAGGATTTCCAAGGGCTAAAATTGGCGCGCAGGACACTTTAAAAATAAAGTGCTTTGCCAAGACTTCCCCTATATCGCCGATAAATTCGTTTCCAAGGTAGGGCATGCTTGTTAAAAAGAAAAGAGAACTTTTCCCTGGAATCACGCGAGTGTCTCCTGGTTCAATTGTGTTACCACACATTATCCACGTCTCGGTTTAGCTAAGACTACACTTATCTGGTCAGTTTTAAAAGTGTCGTGGATCAATCTACCAGCCCGACATGGGAGACGACGGGAAAATATTTGCGCAGGTAAGGTCGGTATTGGCTGATACCATCCTCTGCTACGATGAACCTCCTTTATTGCACGTACAACATTTCAAATGATGCCCAGGAGTGCTGTACATTCTCTTATTTTTGGGAGGTTTCCAAGAAAAATCAGGTCCGGGCGGAGCTGGATTTGTTATTGTCCGACTTCACATTCCGACTCACGCCGCATGCGTTTGTGGGAATCATGCGTGGCTTGGCTCTACTAACACCTCAAATGATATCGCTAAATACTGGAAGATCGTGCACGGTCTTTGGCAAGACCAAAAAAGCGACTAGTCACCACTGCATGTCATTGGGAACAGTGCGTTTGTGCTTTCGCAACTTCGAGCTTGACACCCTCTACACAGGTAGCACTTATTGCGCTTTTTTGTTAAGATGCGCTCGCCATCGCTAACGATAGTAATGTCTCCAGCTGACGACACAATTATTGAACTTACAACAAGATGGCGGATCGACGAACAAATATCGCTATGGACACAGGAGCTTCTGTGCAGGCGCACGCTCCCTCTCGCCCGGTTCTTGTCCAGGAGGCTATTGTCTTCATTGATTCTGATGTCAACCATTGGGTGGAGACCTCGCAGGCCGAATAACAACCAATACAGGGACCCATGCTGACCCCGAGGAACCTGATTATCTCGAGACGGGAGTCTGCGCGTAGGCGCTCTGATGTCCGAGAAGTAGTGCTACCCTAGTAAATAAAATAGCGGTTGCCACGGTAACTTTGTTGCCGGGTGACAGGAAAGTGTAGGTCGTACACGCACCTAAATGTACATCACCTCCTCACTCACTGTTGTTGCTCAAATGATTGGAGTTTGGCCAGGAACTGAGGAATGTAAAAGGGTTCTAGCAGCAAATGCACTGACATCACCATTTTAGGCTTTGCACGGGCAAGTAAGTAAACAGTAATAGTAAATTGAGTATTTGGGATCTACTCCTGACTAAATTGGGCATATTTCTGAGCTACATTTGATAACGAATCAGAATGACCCAGCCGAAAAAAAAACGAACCCAGCCGTTAGCATTTGCCTTTTTCATCAGCCTCAAAGTACTCATATATCAGTACTACTATTATACGGTAAGGAGTTGTACTACTACTTGTTCAGTAGTAATCGAAAGTAATACATTCCTCCCTATCCTGCTATTACTGCTCCAATTACTACTACTACCGCAATTGCAGTCGTTTACGATATCGTCGGCAAAGTCATTGTGTATACATCGAGTCCACGGATTGTACGTATCCAAGCACTTACTCACCCAAATCTCTTCCATCTGCTACTGCTGCTGCTAAGCGCATGCGTAACTTGGCCGCCACTTTATCAATAAATTCAAAAGTGTCGAGATAATGCTCGCGCTTCAGATCTTTCGATCCGTGCACGAGCAGAGCCAGATCTTTTGTCATGTTCCCGCTCTCGACGCTCTCGATCACACACGCTTCAAGCTCGGTGCAAAACCTTTGGAGCTTCCTATTCTCGTCCAGCTTGGCACGGTGCAACAACCCGCGGGTCCATGCAAAGATACTTGCAATCGAGTTGGTGCTTGTCTCGCCTCCTTTCTGATGCACGCGGTAGTGCCTTGTCACTGTCCCATGTGCAGCTTCAGCTTCCAGCGTCCTTCCATCTGGAGTCAGTAGCACACTCGTCATCAGACCGAGTGAGCCGAACCCTTGGGCCAAAATGTCCGACTGCACGTCGCCGTCGTAGTTCTTGCAAGCCCAGACGAACCCGCCCTTGGACTTGAGACATTGAGCGACCATGTCATCGATCAAGCGGTGCTCGTACCCGATCCCCGCTGCTTCAAACTTGAGCTGGAACAAACTGTCGTATATGTGCTGGAAAATGTCCTTGAACTGGCCGTCGTAGCGCTTGAGAATGGTGTTTTTCGTGCTCAAGTAGAGCGGCATCTTGCGCTCGAGCGCGTACTGGAAGCACGACTTGGCAAAGCCAGTAATAGACTCGACGGTGTTGTACATCCCGAGTCCGACGCCGCCATCAGCACCCTCAAAGTCGTACACGCGGTACTCTTCTGGCCGTGCTCCAGTCCGTGCAGGGGTGAACGTGAGCGTAAACGTACCTGGCTCGGTCGCCACAAAGTCAATGGCCTTATACTGGTCCCCGAAAGCGTGCCGACCAATGACAATGGGCTCTGTCCAGCCAGGCACGAGCTTCGGGATGTTCTGGCACACAATGGGTTCCCGGAAGACCGTGCCGCCCAATTCGTTGCGGATCGTACCATTGGGGCTGAGCCACATCTTCTTGAGTCCAAATTCCTGGACTCGGGCTTCATCTGGCGTAATCGTCGCGCACTTGATGCCGACGTTGTGTTGCTTGATGGCACGCGCAGCTTCCAGCGTCACTTCATCGTTTGTCGCGTCGCGGTGGTCAAGCCCAAGGTCAAAGTACTCGATCTGGAGCTCTAGAAAGGGCAAAATGAGCTTCTCGCGGATCTCTTTCCAGATGACGCGCGTCATTTCGTCCCCATCGAGTTCGACGATGGGGTTCGTGACCTGGACCTTGGGAATGATCACAGCGTCTGTCATTGGCAGTAGAGCTAGAAGGAGAGAGGTCGCGGGAGGCGGGGGGAGTGATCGGGATCCGATAAATTCCAAAATGGAAGTTCGGAACGAGTGTGACGTTGCGATTTGCGCAAATTCGACACGACGATGTTGTTCGTCAGCAGGGAGCAAATGGAGCGCTGCTATTGGCTACTTGCTTCTAGCTTGCGACATGTCGAAGTGTCTCAAGTGACCTCCGAATAAGCATACACGTGACGACCTCACTTTTTGTAGGTCCAATACGACACTGTAGCTCACTTCCTTTCCAAGGAACGTAGCTGAGCGAAACGAGCCATGGCCTTACTTGCTTCAGCTTTTGTGTTATTGTTACAATGTGGCATTCTCGAGGCCATACCGTGTGCGTTCATGGACATCCGTGGTACTGGGAAAGCTACTCGATCGTTGCCGGATCGGCGTCTCTATTGACGCAACATCGTCTGCTGCTTCTGCTGCTGGCGGTTCAGCACTTACACCTTCCTCGAGAGCTCCTGCTGCTTTGTCAACGTCCACACACTTGACGTGATCGTCGTCCTGCGGGTTGGCCATCACGACATCAATGTCCTTTTCACGACTCTCCTCCGTCTCCTTTGCTGACAGCTCGAGCTCCGCTGTTTTGCCGTTCATTAAAGCAGGCAATTCAGCTGCTGCTGCTGCTGCAGCACGCACAATCGACTCGAGCGCCACCTCGTTCGTCGAATGATCCTTGTCACCGTCTTCGTCGTCGTCATCGTCTTCATCGTCAATGACAAAACGCGGCACACGCGCATTCGAATAAGCCATTGCCGTCGGGCTGTCTTCAGACGACAATGTATCTCGAAACCCTCTCGACGCGTCACCTTTGCGTGCACGACCAGTGGACTCTCCGCCACGCTGCAACATGTAGTCTCGATACGACGGCATAAAGTTATGGTACGCATCCGCCAGGATATCGGACAGACTCAGCACCTCCTTCATGTTGTTCAGCACCTCCGAGTCCGGCAAGCGGTCCAGGTTCTTCTTAAACTGACTCGAGTTGAATGCAACCAGATGCACAAGCGCAAACACAACTGTCTCGACACACAGGATCAAGTCTTTCCAAGCAAATGCCTGCTCGTTCGTAATGCCCGGGATCAAGTCCAGCAGACTGTTTTGCCAGAACGTGAGGAACACGACGCCCTTTACGGCCACAAACTTGAGCACGGGATTAAATGGCTCTAAAATGTGCTGCACAGCCAGGTAAAAGATCCACAGACCGTAGAGCGCCATCGAGTACGACGCGTTGTAGACCACGACGAGCACGAGTTGGTACGCGACCGTGTGGTACGTGCCACAGGCCAGCATAAACAGCGACAGGGCGGCAAAGAGGGGCTTGACAAAGACGAATTGGATCGTCGCGCGCTTGCAGAGCCGCAAGAGGCGGCCGTCCCGTCCAAGGGGATCGAAACAGCGGCGAAGCGGCCACATGTGCCGGATATCCGGTTCCGTCTGGATCTTCAGCGCACAGACGGACTCGCCACCTGCGAAACTTAATACCAGCGCCAAAAAACTGTAGACGACAAAAGCTTCGTAGCAATCTCGAATTGACTCAAAATAGAGCGCGTGGTTGACAAACGTGAGTGATAAAAGGGACCCCATGGCGTAAATGGGTACAACCACGAGAATGCGCACGATGTAGCGCTGCAACTGCGGCCGCGAGTAATGCGCGAGGTGCTGGATGATGTTGTAGACGCTCAGGAGCGTGGAAAGCACGCAGCAGCCAAAGGCCAGGAGCACGCTGGCCGCGCGGTGGGTCTCGACCCAGTTAAGTGCGAGTCCGAACACTTGGCCGTCGCCGGTGGCGTTGCCGAGCAACAGACTCGACTCGTTGATCGCGTGCATGGGCGTGTCCATGGGTACATCCAACCAAATATGAGAGACTATTAAGTGTGCGCTGCCTTGGTCGGACGGAAAAAGACGGCTGATTGAGAACGTGTGCTGGTTGGTGGATATTCGCGACTGCTGGTGCGCTGGGTTTTAGCGAATCATGTGCGGTGGAGATCGCAGCAAAGCTTTGCAGCAGACTCGTTGCGGTAGAAAAGAGGGGCCGGGGTCTGGAGTGGAGAAAGGGGATGGGGTGAGAATGCGTGAGAATAAAGTATGAAGATTCACAAACTTCTAGAGCACGTTGGGGCTAACCTGCACTCACAGCAGAATCAACTGGATGTACTAGTTCTTGCAGGATATGCGCGTTCAAGAGCTCGATGCAGCCGCGGCGACAGAAGTGCGATACGTTTCTTATGGCATTTGTGAGCCCCAGCAGAGTCGTGCCGTACAATCGTGACGCAGGATTTCTACAGTCGGTAATATCGACACGCGCTAGCAACAAGCCCCAAGGCATAAGGTCTTGCAACCATCGAGTGCTTCCACAAAACCAAAGGCCTATCAATTACCACTGGGGTATGCAGGCAATCAATCAGGAGTTTCGATTCCGCCACTACAACGCGGTACATTATACTGCGTGTAAAGATTTACTATACTGCACGTTGCGAAAGTTCGGGTGTGTGCAGCTGTTGGTGTGCGACATTGCGTCCCGATGTTACACCGAGTAGTGGCGCAGCCTATGCTGTTGGCAGGCGGGATAGCAGTCGCTTGTGACAGCTGCACACAGGGTAAACTCAGCTGTAAGTGGCGCATAATGCTGTATTACGCATTGCAAGCAAGAACTACACATCTGTGGCACACGAATACCGATGCTATTACGGAAGGCTGTAACCCTCTTGCTTCGTCTTGACGCACGTAGGCTTTCGACACTTGATCTATCTGAATTTTCCGTGCAAATTACTTGCATGCACACGATCATCAGAGAGAGACGCCCAAGAAACACTCAGTGTTCTTTACAAGGAGGAAAGCTCGTCTTCGTAAGCCTTTTGTTACTTTTTCTGGGGCTGTATATCTCCACATCACCACAGGGTAGTCAGCACTTGCATTGTGAATCGATGACCAAGCCGAGGCTTGCCTGAAGCAGCACAGAAGGTCCCGCGCCTTATGCTCACGACTCTTGCAGCAAAACCCCGAAAGCGGGAGCTAGCTCCTATTTGACAAAGTACGATGCCCATTGGCAATCTAGAAAACGCCTTGTCTTACCTTCTTAGACATTATCCAACATGCTGGAGAAGACATCTTTATGACGTTGCGTCTGTGTAGAAGTGCTACAAAGCAGCGAAATAGCTCCATCCAGGCACGTCGTCACCACAACACAAACACCCTGTCGATCACGTTTGTCTTGAATCAACATCATGTGCTCTAACGAGTTGTATATGGAGAGTTCATTGAAATAGCACCTGGCATTTACAGCCATTCAGCCATAAGGCATCAAGCGCATCTCGCGCTGGCCAGATAGTGCATTACGAGTTTTTCTTACGTTGTGAAGATACCGCAAATGGTTTGGAGACCTTCGACTGTCGCCGCCTTTACGACTGACGCCGATCTGCACGGATGCGTGCCACAGTGGGGATTACACACATACTCTTCTGTAATGGAAACGCGCGTGGTAACCCTGATCAGAAGGGCTGATTCAGCCATTGTGTCGAGGGGTGATACCACAGCAGAGCTCACCGTTTACTGGATGCCAATTGTGTGTGTCACTTGCGAGCGCACTCACCGGTTCAAGGAGCTGTTACTTGACCTTCAAAAGGCCACAGAATACAAGCCCCACACCATCAACGTTGTCGGAGACAGTAACCTGATAATACGACAGTTGCGCAACGGGACACCATCTAAAGCGCAACACCTCGAAGATAGGTACCGTTAGTGCTTGGCAATGGCAGATCGTACACGCGTTTGTCACTTGGTCGTATCATTTGCAGTATGTCAATCAAATGGACTGGCGAATCGACTATTGGACACAACGGCTAGTCTACAAGTCAACCAAGCCACCGCACTTCGATTGCCGCCAGAGTGGAAGGTGATTACGTCCCACATAACTGAAGATGTCGGACACTGGCAAGATAGGAGGAGGAGGAGGTGGATTGAAATCACAGGACTAGAGAATGTGCAACTTAATCGGTCCCCGCTTGCGGAGCGTATTTGTAGACATCGTTCCTAGATAGCCTATACAGCAGCAATTGATGTGTAGGCCTGCGCTGGACGGACATTTTCGGGTCGTTAGAACAACCCTGTAGTGAAGTGACTGTAAAATGGATTCATGTGGTGGTTGTTGTTGCTGCATTCCAGTTCTCTACTCTTCCAGGAGAAAGGCAACTCAAGCATCCGTCAACACACCTATCAATGTCCTGAAATGTTCTTTAGATCGTCGTAACTAACCACCGCGACTCCCAGTTTCACAGATCTGTCTCGCAAGCGATCGGAGCCCAGATATGCCTTGTCGAACATCGCATACAGCCGGCTGGTACTGTAGTACTTTGTCAAGACTGCAGCCATTTTATTCTTGGTGCGCTTCGTTATGGTTCCGTCCACCACGCCGGTCCTTTTGAACACCACGAAATCAAACCACATACTCAACTCTGGGCGCTCGAAAATGTTAGTGCCTACTACGCTGAGTCCGAGTAGCCTGAAAACGCGGTATTCAGAGTATCCAAGAGCTTTCCACGTTTCCATCAGTTCACCCGCCAGTCTAGTCACCATTTTTCGATGCTTTCGACTTGTTGGAAGAGCATCCAACGCCAGCTCAACCACTTTTGCCAATTCCGAATGCGTGTAGGTCTTTGAGAGCAGACCGATAAGGGACAATTTGTTGTTGGGATAGAGCTTCTGGATACGATCGATGTCAGCGACCCAAGCGTAAAACTCGGGGCTGAGCAAATCCTTGTTCGGTCCTGCTTCAAGCTTCGATCGCAATTGCAATTGAGCTTGAGCTTCGTCCATAACTCTCTTGCTCGAGATTCGAATGCTCTTGCTTCTCGACTTGAGGAGGAGCCAAGTCGAAGCTTTCTTGAGTGATGATGACAGATTAGCCGACGGGGCGATACCCAATAAGAGCCTTTTGGAGGCACCTTTGTTCTGGGTCGTGGTCGAAGATGCCGGATCGCGTGCTGCCCTTATCGACGATTTGCCTTCCGTCACAGCATGTGCCTTTGCCAGCAATAGCACAGCAGTGAGAACAATGAGTGCACGCACCAGTATAACACGCGAGTCGTGCATGCTTGAGCAGTAGGCGGCAGATAGAAGAGTGACAAATGCGATGATATTCATTGGCACATTGTGAGGTAAAAATCTGTCGGCACGCGAAGGTCGAGACACCTGCGAAGTACCACAACGAGTGCATGGCGCATTCATTACTCACTTCCGCATGGTGAAGCAAACGACCGAACGCATAGCAGGTGCACCTTTGACTTTGGCTCTCATACTTGTGGACTCCTGTCGACATCCTGAATACGACCTGTAGACATGTGCTTCGCACGGCGAGAAAAGCTTACGATAGTCACGCCCACATAAGGTTCATCCTGAAATCGCATTCGAGCAAACAAGGAGAAGGTGGTACCTATGCACGGGAAGCGGGCAACTTGGCGGTATCGCGGGTTGTGCGTGCGATAGAAGGAACACCGTGTATCTTCTCGGTCTTTCTCTACTCGCCCCCTTGTCCTCATCTTGACGGCACCACGTGCGTACACCGCCAGAGCTGTTTATGCGTTGTGACCAGCTTCACTTGCTCTTCCCATACCGGTGTATGTGGCACTACTTCTAATCATGCAGAAGAGGATACAATCCGTCCTGTTGCGATGGTATCACCCACGCTCACGAGTATCGAGTAGCTTTCGGCATCGATGACGTGTTCACTAAAGACCATACCTGCAGCTAACGCTGACCGCAATCAACTCGAGACTACAAGATAGGCGCTCAAAGACCTGACAGGAGGACCTGTACCTCGTGTGCATGTTCACAAAGACCCGACCTTCAACTAATGCTGACCACAATCATCACAGGAGACCACGAGATAGGCGCTCAAAGACTTGCCAGTGGGACCTGTACCCCGCAAGCGCCATTCCTGAGACGCTGCTCTACAGAGATACGTTTGAGTTAAAGCGTCGAGACCATAGTTGCCAATTCGTATAACCAAAGCCTGGCGTTCAGGTACTGTACTGACAATTACGTCAGTGATCGCATGAGGTGTTTTCCACCATCGACTGTAAAGTTTGCTACATTTTCCAATCAAAGTTGTCGTGTCAAGACGTAGTAGTCCGGCCTACGCGACTTGCGTGGTGTGACATGATAAACGGCTGCCGCGAGACTTAGCTGGCAACCCTCCGGCTTTCATTGCGTCTGATTTGAGCAAGACACAATTAATTGCAGAACATGAGGCTCGATGTGATTATCGACGAAGCGACGTCTAAATGTATCATCAATTTCCCCAAGGAGAGATTATGACCACCCCAAAAATGGGTCATTAATTTTGTAATACAGTAGAGTCTCCCTTGTTGAATATGGCTGGGACCGCCCAATTTTGATCAAATAAGGGAATCATAGAATCGCAGAGTTCGGGAATAGGGTCGAAGCGAAGGGTGTTACATGTATTCACCTCCAACATGGTCGCTAATGGCCATACCTCACCGACATCCTCCGCAAGGCGATCTGCATGAAAAAGCTGATACATCCAGGCCTCGCGCAGGAAGCTCTGTGTCGGTGGATGCTGGAGGAGCACGGAGTCACGGTCACCCAAGGGACAATCAGCGACGTCCTGAAGCGTTCTGCAGACCTGATAGGTCCGCCCAAGAGCGATACAGCCCTCCATTCCAAGCGGCACCGTGCGGTTTCATACCCGCTGGTGGAGACGACGGCGCTTGCTTGGTCAGTGGATTATTGAGTAGCAGGGTGTTGTCAGCATCAGCGGACACCTGATCCAGAAACAAGCGGCATCGTTCATGAAGACGCTGTATCCAACCGTCAAGGATGAGGATGCACCCGCATTTTCAATCACTTGGTTGCAAAAATCTAAAAATCTCCACGGCATCTGCTTGCATCTTCGCTTTGGCGAAAGCGGATCTATTGACATTGAAGCACTGGAGGAGCGCCTGCCGGAAATCCGTGCTCAATTAGACCAGTACAACGTCGTCGATACCTTCAATGTGGAGGAGACCGGCCTGTTCTACCGACTGCAGACCGATTCATAGCTTTCGACGCCAGCCGGAGGCTCAGAAGCAGAGAAAGAGCGGATGGCGATCACCATCTGCAGCAAGGCAGACGGATCCGACAAGTTTCCGCTGCGGATCATCGGAAAGCTCTTACACCCACGCTGTTTCAAAAATGTGGACTGCAGAAGCCTGGGATTTGCCTATCACGCCAACAAGAACGCGTGTATGACTCGCAACATGTTCAAGCCATGGCTGGAAGCCGTCGCCTAACACGTTGCCGGTCGCAAGGTCATTCTGATCCTCAAATACTTCTCCGCGCACATCAAAGAGGAGGATACGGAAGACCCTGGAAACACTGTACAGAATACAATGATGTTGTATTTGCCGCCCGATGCGACCAGCAAGATTCAGCTCTGCAACCTAAAAAAGCACGTAACTATAAAGTGTATTACCGCAGGCGGTTCAACCCCCAGCTTCTGGGTCTTCATGAGAACAATCAGCCGGACGCAGCAAATATTAACGTCTTGGGGGCGATTTATCTGGCGCATGCTGTATTGACTCTGAATATGCAGCCTGAGTGCATCCGCAACTGCTTTACGCACTGCAAACTCTGCACCTCAGATATAGAGAACGCTGCAAACGCAAACGTAAATGTCGTGCCAGCATTCGTTGCGGATCTCCAGGGGCAGGTTAATTAACTTTATCGCAAACCTGATGTCCATCGACTTCATGCTTAACAATCCTAACGAGGAGCAGGTGATCACGCTCCGACAAAGGCAGAGGTTCTCGAGAGCGTTCAAATACCGGAGTCAGCAGCTACAGCAAGGAGGACAACAGAGTGGCTGCACCGTCCGCCCTCTTCGAAATGCTGCATCGGTGCTTGCAGATCTCAAGACTTTCTGGTTGCAGCAGGAGACTGGAGAGGAGTTCTTAGGGATGATATCAGAAGATGCAGGACCAGGTGGTAATTCTTCAACAAGAATCCTTAAGCAACAAACTCTGGTCAATTTCTTGTAGCGGTACCCCGGCAGTAGATTGATATTTGCATGGCAAAAATTCCTCTGGCTCTAATTATAAAAAAGGGAGCTAATTAATATTTGACCTGGGCCTAACATTAGACTCGACATTTTTATTAAATTAGTTAGCTTCGAGAATATTAAATTACGGAAACTCTATTGTACGTTAAACGGTCACCCCAACTCCCCGAATTGGTCTTTCAAACAACGGCCGCCAAGCGACCAAAACCTTCAAAGAGCCATTTACCCGGGCTCTTTACCCTGTACGGGAAGTCCATCTACTTGGAGTCCAGGAAAAGGAGAGATTCGGTCCAACGGTTGCTCCTCGGGAGGTAGTTCAGCGTGCAATCTGAAAGGAGAAAAATCGACAAAGAAACACCGAGGTGTGGGGCACGTAGAAACGAACACTTGCAACCTGACACGAAGTATCTACTGCCCTTCTACATCCAACTTCCATCATCGACCATTCACCGAGCGTGATTCCGGTCGTACGAAGAGAACTCGCGAAGAACGTGATGTTGTCTGGTGGACATAACTCCGGGGTATGTGCCAGGGAAAAGCCAAGATGGTTTCTCGGGACTGTCCAAAGTGGTCACTGACCTCACTTTTAAACGTCCTCTACCATCTTGATTATTGGCCACAGGTGACAATTTGCGGGTGCCCTCGTGACGCCCGATGTCTCGATCCAGCAGAATGAGGCAGCATGGAAAAGAACGATGGGGTCATGGTGGAAGACAGGAAATTTTTCATACCGACATCAAAGAATATTCGTAAGGACTAGGAATTGACAGTGTGATCTACTAGCTCTTACGCAGCCTTTTTTATATTGAATCGAATAGTCGGGGTACATCATTCGCGCCCCAATCATTTAAAACAATCTCTTCTTGCCCCCTTGTCATTCTCGTGATTGCGCCACATGCAAATACCAGAGTTGCTTGCGCAACTTGACCTATTTTTTATTGTAATTCCATGACAGGGTGGGTATGTGGTGGGATGTAAATTAAAAAGTCCGGTGACGTTTTGGCAGGCACTAGCTAACGTGTCTTCCGCTTTCTACCACGTTTAATCATTTTTAATGTTTTTACCTGCTATTATCGTTTCACCCAGTTTTCCACAGGCTTAAAGTTGTAACCATAGCAGTTCAAGGCAGGTTCACTACAAGTAGAATGGTAAGGACGGGTGAAAAACAGTTAAAAAGCGATAGAAAACCATTCTGGAGAGGACTTGCTTGTCACTATGTTGAAGAAAATAGATCTGCATACACAATGCGCGCACCAAAACTTTTTCTTCTGACACGTTGCTGACAAGGCTCTCAGCCTAAGCTTTGCCTCATTAGGAGCATCTGTGCGCGACCGTGTCGTGTTTTTAGTAGAGAGATCGAAACATTCACTAGTGTAACGATGAATACCTGTGCAAAGAGAACCTCCATGCAAGGCGCCTGTGCCAAGTGCAACTGCTGTTCAATTAATTTGTTAAAAAAATAAATTGAATAGCAGTTACACTTGGCCTTGGTTTTTCTCCTGGCCACTTTCAACTTTTTAAAGAATGTCCACATCAAAATCTAAGAGCGAGCCAAGGTGAGCATGGTAAACCTGCAAATCTCAACGAATCTTTTAGCAATAATAGCATTGTAGAGAAGGCATGTATGTACGTATGCATATAGATCTTTAGCGGGAACAGCAGGCAATTAGCACTAATCGTGTGGATGGCAGTCCAAGGTTCCATCCGGGTGACAAGTCACCTTTTGTTTTTGTGGTAGGTGGATACGGGTGGGCTACAATCAGTGGGGATGATTGCAGTGCAATACCAAATGTTTATTTCTTCGACATATTTCTTGGTTGTTCATAGATAATTACTGGTAAATATTCTGTCTAAAAATGAGGGCTTGTTTTTAACATATCTAACCCTGCTAAACAATAAAATGTTATCATCAGGTACTCATACCTAACATCCCTAGTGGCGTTTTTGCCTATTAAGCAGTAGTTTGCGCGTCGGTTCACGACAGTGGTTCTTTATTCTGGCCTTTAACTACACGAGTAATACAAGACACTCACCCGGGCGTAGCTACAAAATTTTCGATTGTAAAGTCCTTGTAATGGTCGCCTAATATCAATGAGATGGTATGACACGGATAAAACGTGATTGACTTTACTTTTATTTGTAATGTAACGAGGCACCGGACTAACATACTGGACAACCAGTGTGGAGCTACTATCACCGACAGCAGCGTGAATGGTACCTCGCTACCTTTATTAAGTATGCAGAGGAAGGGAGAGCAACTAGTAGCTGACTTGTTGCTGGTAAAAGCAAAATTGTATAAAATATGATTAAGTCCTGATCATTAGCCTATGTTTTAGTCCTAAATTGATTATATTTATCCACAAAAATGTATGCTAGTGTCTTGCTCAATACTCATTGCGCGCGTCCATCGTTAATCGGACCGCGAGAGATGGCTGATATGGTGTCTCATTTCATCCAATCGGTAAGTGTTACTGAGTATTACCCCCTACGACTATATCCACGAACATCTTCAACCTTTATGATAAAACTCTAATTAGTAAGTATTACGGCTAAACAAGTAACAAACTCACCCCATTTCTTCAAAACCCCCCATTTGAACGATAGTCACTCAATCATAGAATGTTTATGTGGTCACCGTTAGACCACACCAGGGACAAGGAGAATTTGCTTCGGTTCGATCCATTCATTTCTGATTCTTCATCACATGGTGAACAAACCATGCGATACGCGGCGAAAGATACTGATAAGGCAGCTGCGCGTGTGATGCAGCTGCTTTTGACGATAGTCAGCGCTGCGTAGTAGAAGATGCTTCATCTGCTGTTGCTACAATTCTTCCTGCCGCACCGGCTGCTTCAGAGGCACGTGGTGTAGTCACTACATGCTAAACATAATGTCTCCGAAGTGGACCGCATCTATTCGGGGGAGTCGGACGGTGGGTACGACTCGAATAAGGCACCTAGGTCGCCCTTATCTATACGGGCAGCCGAATACGAATCTATGAATAGGACTACAGCGGGTAGTCATACTCATAGTCACTACAATACTCTGTTTAGTACGAAGAATCAGCATGCTGACTCCTTCCCCGCTACTGCTACTGCGCATTCTCCTTCTAGCGGATGCGGTGACTTGCACCGTCGTGATGACGAGTGGTGCCGAGAATTCCGTTGGTACCACGCAGGAGGCTCTATACGGCAATGTGCTGTTTCTATTCCCTAAACACAAGCCTGGAATATAAAAATAAACGATTGTGAATGAAATTTCAGGCGAGACAAGTCTCCATCATCGGATTCCATTATTCGATGCGAGGCTGTTGCACGGGCTCAACATCAGCGCTAGTAACTTTCTCGCTGCATGATTCGCACTATACTGATGCAACGAATTGGTGAATTCTAAGCCACTGACGTAGATCTTGTTATCTTTCTTTTAAGCCGGCCAATCGATTGTGGCTCTTATCTTATCTGGGTCCGCTCGAAGGCCTCTCTTCTCAATGAAGCACCATAATAAGGGAATCTCTTCTGTAACAAATATGCACTCAGATGCATTTGCGTGCATTTTTTCGTGCGCATGCACTCGAGCACCGCTTATAAATGATCAATGTGATTATCCACATCAGATAGACCGTTTGTAGCACGACTATGGACAAAGCTGTCATCAATATACGTTTGTGCATAGCCTCTAGGAGTTCTGAATAGTTGTGTCTCCAGACGATTAAAAGTAGCCAGAGGATCTAAATTTCTTGTGGCGTAGCAAGACACTTCTGAGCATAACGCTCTAGGTACTTATCGCATTTAGCGTTACACTGCTCGCTCGGATGAGCAGCTGGTAATACCCATCGACTGATCCAAGCGCACTGTACAATGTACACCCCATCATATTTTTCTGTAAAACATCCTATCTGGGGATGGTGTGTGAGCCGGAATAGTATAGCATTAAGCTTATTATAAGTATGGACAATGTGTACTTACCATTTGGCTTCCTGGTACAAAAGTCGGTGTGGAATGGGGAGATTTACTCTCTCGCAACATCACAGCCGCGTGCATTGCATAAAATAAATTGTCAATGACGCCACACTGTTCCTTAGGTAAAGGCCACTGCCGCGTTGCGCAGTATTTAGTTCATGGAACTAGGTCAATTTCATGACGTACACCTCTATCGGGAGGTAAGACAGATGGTGGGATGTAACACTCCACATCTTGAACTCCATTTACCAAAGGATAGAATGAATCCATAGGATCTTTAAGGATCAAAGATACACTCTGGGTACTGAGTGCCGCCCTGGTGTCCTTTTGGACCGACTAATCCATTAATGAGGAAGAGCTCAACCCGACATCGGGTCTAAATTACCACTGATTCGGATGAATCCCCTGCCTTCAAGTCCTAGCTGAACTCGCAATCACTGATTTCGTCTAGCTCCCAGAGAGCATCCAAAGATGGAAGGTTTTCTAGGCTAACGTTGCCCTCAACCTGACCAGTCACTCTGCTGACGAGTGTATATAGCGTATCAAAACTGTCAATATGTGACAGCTCGGACGCCTGGCGCTTAACAGTTGCCACCTGGCGTCAAGGTGGTCTCTTCGACGAGACCTTACACCCCTCTGGGGTCTGAGACAATAGCGTTTCCGTGGTTACGACTGATAGTGATCAGCTTTAGCACAATCAACTCCTGCACAAATAGCTGCTTTGCAGTATGTGCCTGGCTGGTGCACGCTCCACCTTTCGTTTTCCGCGCTCGTCTTCAGACTTCCAGTCAGGGTGCCCGCGTACGCTTCACACACAACTGACGTACTCATTTTCCATCGCTTTACCGCATGCACAAATCTGTGTCCGATACGGAGGTATGATACAAAGCTATATGAAACTGGTGTCATGACTATGGGAGACATTGAAGTGTTATTGCAGAAATTCACCGGTGCTGTTAATGACGAAGAACTTCAAGAATTGAACGCTGGACGTGTAGAGCTCAAAAAGTAATGACATTATACATAAAACATTTGTTCTGGTCGAAGTATTAACTCAATCCAGCATGTATGTCAGCCTATTTCCCTCTGCGAATATGTATTGACGGGACATAGCGTTGATACGCGGGCATAGCATAAGTCCACTATGTCACGGTAAAAATTTGCTTGTCCGTTATCAAGGGCTCATCTGTTCTAGTAAGTCAGAAGTATCAGCATATTCAGTGTGTATAGTGATTACAATAGGTTAAGTCCTTCTTTGAAGCACAAATGTTGGTGTAAGTGTGCCACTGTAGCTTGAGTAATTTAGGACGTGGGTCATTTTTTGTTTTCTCATTATCTGGAGTATTTTTTGTTTTCGTGGTTAAATGGAGCTTTTTTTCAATAAATAATCTTCTGTCAGTAATAACCTATTTAATCTTCTGTTTTCTATGGGTAATTGCAAACATGTATCGTGATAATCTCCTCACTACTTGTTGCACACGTCTGTCGTGGTTCGGTATCATTGGTTGATGACATGGTCTGTATTAGCAAATGAATCTACTGCGGAACAATTATATCACTTCCGATAGAATAAGAATACGATGTCTTGCTGACATAACATGCACACTTGATATCTACCTTGTGTAAATATTACGTAACGGAAACCCCTTGTCACAGCTACGCTTTGTGCCCCATGACCGTTGCAGCAAACCTAAAGCGGAAGCTTACCCCCAATCGACAAAGTACTACTAGACCCGTTGGTAGTCTAGAAATCGTCTTGTCTTGCCTTCTTAAACATTTAAATGACGAAGGAGACATCCTTATGGCATAGCGTTTGTGTAGCGGTACTACAAAAAAGCAAACTAGGCCCATCGGGGCACTACGTCATCACAACTCGAACACCCTGTCATTCACGATTGTATTGTATAAACATCACTGGCACTAACAGCTTGTGCGTGAAGGAGTTCGTTGAAACGATCGCCCAGATTTCATGTTCGTTCAGCTGTAAGGCATCAAGCGGGTATTGCATCTGGAGCTGACCGGATATATTGCAGTACGAGTTTGTTCTTACTAAAGAATGTGCCGTGAACAGTATGAATCCATTAAACTGCCGCCGTCCGTAGGATGAACGCAGCCAATGCAATTGTGCCGTGAGAGTAGGTTGCCGACATTCCGGTCGTAAGATTTACAAGTGGGACAGCACTTTCTGATCCGTTCGCGTCTACTTTCTTCGCTTCGTTGCTGCGTACATGCAAAAAGTCGGAAGCAACAACGCTTTCGAAACAGATACATCCATTAGTTATTGTAACTGCATTCCCGCTTTTCTACTCTTCCAGGAGAAAGGCAGTCCGAGCACCTATCGATAAGCTGAGGGACCCTTCATTTCCTGGTGAGTATATGTTCCGGTTGCCAGTTTAACAAATGTACGTTGCAAACGGTCTGGGCCCAGATAATGCCTTGTCGAACAAAGCATCCAGATCATCGGCATTGTAGTACTTTGTCAATACCGCAGCCATTTTATCCTTGACTAGCGGCGTCGGGATTTCGTCCATCTTGCCGGTCGATATAAACACCACGTGATGATGCCACATACTCAACTCTGAACGCTCGAAAATGTCTGTGCCTTGAATGTAAAGCCCGAGCTTCTCGAAAATGCTGAATCCAGAGTGACCTAGAGGATCCCAGGTTGTCACCGGTTCACCTGTCAGTCGAGTCGCCAAATTTTCGATGCTTACGAGTCGTTGAAAAAGTATCTAACGCCAGCTCAATCACTTTTGCTAATTCCACATTAGTGTGGGTCTTTGGGAGCAGACCAATTTAAGGGACACCTTGTCGTTTGGACAGAGCTCGATGAAACAATCAACCTCAGCGACCCAAGCGTAAAACTTGCAGCTAAACAAATCTCCCTTCGGTCCTGCCTCGAGCTCCAATCGCATTCGTTTTTTGAGCGTCGTCCGGAGTCCCCTTGCTCAAAGGCCATGATCGAGATCAAGTGGTCTTGCTTTCCATCCTCTTCCGCAACCAAGTCGAAGCCCTCTTGAGTGATGACGACAGATTGGCCGACGGGGTGATGCCCAATAAGAACCTCTTGGAGGCACCTGTGTTCCGGGTCGTGGTCGAAGATGCCGGATCTCATACTGCCCTTATTGACGCTTTGCCTTCCGTCACAGTATGTGCCTTTGCCAGCCGTAGCACAGCAGTGAGAACAATGAGTGCACGCACCAGTATAACACGCGAGTCGTGCATGCTTGAGCAGTAGGCGGCAGACTGGAGAGTGCTAGGTGAAGCATTTGGCCGGTACATCGTGAGGTGAAAATCTGTCGGCAAGCAAAGGTTGAGACACCTGCGAAGTACCTGACCGAGTACATGGCGCATTCATTACTCACTTCCACATGGTGAAGCAAACGATCGAACGCATAGCATGTGCACCTTTGACGTTGGCTCTCACACATTTGAGCTTCTTTCGTAATGGCGAACACAACCTGTACAGCCAGTGCTTCCTATAGCGAGCAGTGCTTACAATATACACGCCCACAAAGCGTCAACAATATACCGAGAAAACATCAGCATGACGTCCTGAGTTCCGATCCGATTGACATACTATACAGCCGATCGTGAGGCGACACAAAGGCTGAGCTCTCTGACTTTTTTCATTCGTACCAGATTCGCTGTGATGAAGAGTAAAACGCAAGTGTTGGACTAGTACATGGAGCTCGATGTCTCAGAAGCACACGCGACAATAAACACGACAGTCGCTCAACTGTCCTCGATGATATCACATAGAAGGTCGAGCAACAACTACACAAATTCACTCTGTTTTTGAGTAGGTGTGAAGGATGCAGTATGAGAGCCACGAACCACTTTTTTCTGAGATCAATTTTGGAACGGCAAAAGCTCTGTTTGTTCACTTTAGACCAGGAAGCGTGCGCTCGCGTTTGCATCAAGTAATGACGCCCATCCTTTGTATGGAGGACATCCCCTACTCAGCAACCTCACCTCACCCATCAGATTTACACATTGGTCTTCACTACGTATGTCGATCATTCGACTTGATGAGGCAGCTCTCGTTTCGTAATCCTGAAATTTCTTCGAGTAAACAAACAGAAGGCGGTACCTATTACTGGAAGCGGGCAACAACCTGGCGGTATCGTGGGTTGTACGTGCGATAGAAGAAACATCGTGTACCGTCTTTGGTCTTTTTCAGCTCACACCCTTGTCACCGTCTTGATAGCACCATGTGAACATCACCAGGGCCGTTTACGCCTGTGACCAAATTCATTAGAGTGGTCCCCGTTATTAGTCTCAGGGATACTATTGTGCGTGAGTTTTTTCCTTCTAAATTTGTTTAGTATGTGGGTCACTAATAAAATACCCAAACTCTATTATAAGTGGTAAAATTCGTCTAAGCGTTACCAATTACAGATTTACCGAATTAGTCACACCAAGCCAGAGCAAATTACACAACTGCGACCTAGCCCTCGCTAGAAATGTTCATGATGGAAGCTTTAGCTTGTAGGCGACGAGAGCCTCCTGTGGTGCACTTCACAGCTTGCCAGCAAACTTCTCAAAATGCTTCAGGGTTAAGCTGACCCGTCTTCAAGTGGACTGCAGAAGTTTTGGCCGCGTCAATTTTTAGAATAAATTTACATTTATGAAATAGAGGTTTCTAAAATCGATTGAAGTTTGTCGTGGTTTCAAGCTACTTCCTACTCAATTACTGCAACCAATGATCCGCATCTAATTTCAGCCAATGAACTAAATTATCACGAAATATAGTCCGATAACATGCAGCAAAAAGAAATTATCTGGGTGTCCCAAAATGTCAGAATGTCGACGGGATAGCGAGCTAACTGTCTTAATTTATTTCGCTACTGTTGCGCACTTTTATGAATATAATTAAAAAAAGGTTTTTTTGATTGGTCAGAAGTTGAGTTAAAATGACGTTAGAGCCAGAAGCTTTTTCTGAATGTTTTTGCGTGTCAGAGACACTCCACCAATCCCTCACTTGGCATTCTTCAGTCTGTCACCTTCCACTCCATCGCCATGCACAGGCCGCGCGTCGTACTGCTGAATGCACTCATGGTGCTAGCTGCAACGTGGGCGCAAGAGAAAAAGGTTGCATCGATAGGGGCGACACCTGGCGCTGCATCGTGGACAACTTCCGGGCGTTTTCTGAGGGGTGAGGAGATCGAGGAGAGAGCTATCCCTAGCTCTCAGACGAGCGTGTCGCCCTTCAAGAGGCTTTCGGAGTGGTTGATGTCGAAATTGTACAAGCTTACTCGATCTCGCTTCAGCCGCAAAAAGCTGGACGCCGTGTTTCTGGAGAAGTACCTCGAAGCTAGAGTGGATGATAATCTATTTAGCCCAACGGTCTACTCCTGGGTTGCACGCATTGACATTTTCAACAACGACAATCCACAGTACAAGATATCACCTGCTAAGCTGCTTGCAAAGGACTCTTCGCATCTGGAACTGGCAAGAAAGATTGAGGCGGGCTTGCTGATATCCGATGATCGAGAACTAGCGACTCGACTGGCGGAGAGTCAGAGAGAATGCTGGAAAGCTGATGGACGTAGTGCGATGAAAGTGTTCAGGCTGCTTGAGCTCGACAAGCCAGGACGAAGCATTTTCGAGCGTCCAGAGTTTGATACGTGGCGCCGCTACGTCTTCGAAAAACACGGCAAGGAAAAAAAGGAAGCTGAGCAAGAGATGGACTCAGTGACGAGAAATCATCACCCTTGGTGAGTTGGATGATGCGTTTCATTTCGCAACGCCGAGCGAAGATGAACTTTGTAGTGGACGTATCTAAAACTTGCACATGTGATTGATCTCCATCAGAAGTTAAAACAACCCCAGAGATCGAATGCCTCTGAGTGAGCTGCCTGTCTGGAAGTACGTAGGGTGGAGCTATAGCTGGAATCAAACAACAACAACAACAAACAAACACATCCTTCCATTTTGAGTCATACATGCTTGCGTTCCTACTACTAGTAGCTCCAACTAATCGCATGTGCACACGCAACGTAAGCACACCAAGACGTAAGCAACGAACAAAACGGTCCGACAGTGGCGTCCGCTTCTGTCGATCCCGCTGCCCAGGCCCATCAAGCACCCCATGGTACAATCGTATTAGCCACAGTAGCTGTACAGAGGACGACTGTAAAAGGCAGTCCGCGGGGGTAGAGGACTGGTTGTGTGACCGTCAGACGTCGCGGAGAGTAAAGCATTGCGATGCGGCCCGAAAAAACCGCTCAAGGTGCAGCTCAAGAACGCTATGAGATGAGAGCCACCCAAATTATTCGTAGCTACCTGTCGGATGGGTGCGTGGGTGTGCAGTAACAACAAATACACGTTACATGGTGTTCTTATACGGTAAGCCGAACCGAAGCTGAACCACCGTTCGTGCCTAGCACTGATTGCCCAATAAACTTCATAGGCAGCCGTTCGAGCCAGCTGAGTAAACAAAAGGAGTGACAGGCGCTTACGGTTTGGCAACTTCGCGTCTAGGTGGTGTAACGGGGTGAATCGTTACATAACAATTTATAAGATATTGTTAATAAAATATAACTACAGTCTTCCCTCTGCTAAGTTATCCCCGGCTACGGAATAACCTCCGGTAAGTTATAGGATTCGGTCTCCACCGACCTCGTTCTATGGTGACTACGGAATAAGTTATACGGAATAGCATGAGGGCCAAATACAACTTATCAGAGGGAATATTTTTGTCCGCCGTGAGCAGAAGTATTGTACGCAGAACCTTTTTTGTTATTCACTGCAAGAAAGGAGTGGAAAGAGGAGAGGGAACCACTTCAGCCAGGAATCAAGTGTGGCCTGAGTGGTGCTCGCACTACGGAGATCAGCTTGACTTGGTGAAGGGTCCGGTGAGCTATACGATGGGACTCCTGAGTAAGGTCGAGAAGGGCGATGGATAGACTAAGGCTTGCAAGCTTTTCAGCCTTCGAATGCTTTTCCACCTCCTCCTCCGCCTCAGCAGCACCTTCCTCCCCCCCATACGGATCCTCAACAAGCTTGATGATTTCGGCATCGGTCAGCTCCGCATGCGCCGTCTCCTCCTCCTCAGCCGGATTGAGAAGAGAAGCGATCGACATGGGATTGCGGAGCGGAGCCTTTCCAGCGCCGAAACAAGATCCTGTTCCACGCGCTGCTCCTCTACTGCAGCAGCTGCTGCCTCCTGCTGGGCCTGCTGGCCAACAGTGCCGGCTTCGTTTTCACCCCCACCAGTCGGCAGAGCCGGACCGTCCATAAGTCCCGTATGACGGAAGCAGTTGGCGATTGTGGCACTGGAAATCTCGCTCCATGCAGCCAGCGACCAACGCATGGCTGTGAGCTGATCAACCTTGTAAAGGTTGGTTTCTCCGCGCTCGTCACGGTCCAAGGCATTCTGCAGGTGCAGCCGGCGGTAGTGCCTCTTGAATGCGGCAATAATCCCAGCATCCATGGGTTGGACCTTTGAAGTCGTATTAGGAGGAAGAACCTGGACCGTGATGTTGGTGAGTTCCAGGTCAGCAACAATGTGTGAAGGAGCGTTGTCCATGAGAAGCAGGATTTTTCTATCCTTTTGCTGTGGTCAACGCGTTAGTCAAACCTCCTTTACTGTACCACAACGATGATGTTCAAGGCATGCCCCAAATTACCTTCATACTTTTGTCGACGTCTCCCAGCCATTCCTGGAAGAGTATGCCAGTCATCCAGGCTTTCTTGTTGTTGCGGTAGAGAAAGGTCAGTCGCTCAGCTGTCTTGCGCTCAAAACACCGCGGCTTTTTGGCGTGTCCAATGAAGAACGGCGGAGTTTGTCGGATCCATCAGCGTTTGCCGTAAGAGCAACTGTGATGCGCGTCTAGAATAGTTGTTAGTGTCAGAGAAACGCAGGAAACCAAGAGGAGAGCAATATTGTACCTTGTCTTTTTTAAACCCTTCGACCTCTTGCTGGGCGATCGTTTTGTCGGGCGTCATACTATAGAACAAACCTGAACAGAAAGTGAGCCTTTGAGATGCTTCTGTACTGTACAATGAGTACAGTACTGTACTGTATTCTCAGACCTACCAGTTTCGTCCATGTTGTACACGTCACGTGGCGCATAACCAGCAACCACGGCCTTGAGGGTGGAAGAGCCTCCTCTAGAGCGCCCATATCTGCTGAGCCACTCTCGCCATGAATGCGGACAGCTCGCAGTTTGTGGCGTTGCTGGAATTTGTGGAGCCACCCATGCGAAAAGTTGATGTTTTCCTCCGAGACGCCCATTGATCCCGCAAAGGTCTGAGCCTTGGCCCGTATGAGATCTCCGGTGAGAGCGACCCCACGGTGCTGACACTGCAAGACCCAGAAGGCGACGGCCTCCTCCATAGATGGGTGCTGGACAGTCCGAGGACGCTTAGCGCTGAGGTCAGTGGTGTCCATTGCCTCAAGCTCCTTCCTTTTTTGATGATTTTGCTGATCGCTGCCTGGGAAAGTGCCTTCTGGAGGTCAAAGGCGTCATTTGTCCAAGCCGCCAGGGCAGTCTGGGTGATGCGCGGGTTAGCATCCTGGTGCTTGCAGATGCGCAGCTTCTGCTCGTTGGTAAGACGTATCTGCGACATCTGTTGTGAGTGAGCAAGGTACAGTTGGTGGAACTTCTTAATTAGAGATAGCAAAATCACCAGAGACTGGTGGGGCAACCAAAATCACAAAATCTTCATAGGGCACGTGACACGTGACAGACAGGTTTTGGAAGCCTGGAGGTTTGTTGCGTTTTTGATTCTTTAATTAATTAAATTAATAATCTTTCCGCAGCATACCTCTGCTATGGAATAACCTCTGCTATGTTATAGGATTTGCCTTCCACCAAGTCTATAACTTAGCAGAGGGAAGACTGTATAAGAGTTATATTCTCAGAATATCGTCATAAGGACAAATATTCTGTAGCACTTACGAGTAGTTCCTATTTGGTTGATATAGGTCATTATATCAACCAACGAAGACGCGCCACGACAGACGCACGCAATGAGTGGTGAGCAGATAGTTGATTTACACATTTGTATTCAGACATAGTTAGATGAGGATAAATAGTGATTTATTAACAGACATTAACTATACTAAATACAGTTCTACTTTTTACTTTAATCAAGTACTCGCTTCTTCTTACCGTCTTCCTCTGCACGTACGAGTGTACGTGAAGTTACGAGGCATCGCCTTATTCTGTCATCAGAATAAGTAGCTTGTACTGTCACCAGTACAAGCTTCAGGGTGCCCCGTTACACCTGGTAGCACTTCGTAGTCCGTCCAAGGACCACGTTCACATCCAACATGAATATGTTGGATGACGAAGATGACTAAAGCTTTCACGCTACGCGTGACGGCTACTCCCATTTGAGCGATGTCGAATGGGATGCGGTTGAACGAATGGGTTCAACCATGGGCATCCATGCTGTTAGCGTTATGCTAGATGCTCTCAATAGAGATGCCCAACATGCTACTATCGCCAAGTTCATTCAAAATGAACTTGACGCCGAACGCGAGAAAGTAGTCTTGCTTCACCAACAAGGTTCTCAGCAAGCAGAATTGTTGAGAGAACAGGGTGCTCAACAGTTTGAACTGTTGAGACAGCAGCAGGCTGCTGCTGGTCGGTCGATGCACTCGCGTCGACCCGAGACCTTGAAGATTGACATCTCTAAGTATAGGGGAGTCGAAGAGGACTCCCTCTTGAGATGGTTTGTCGAATTAGACGACGCCATGAGGGCGCGTCGCATCGACGACGGGGATATGCAAGTTGCATTTGCCCAGTCAAATCTGGCAGGACGTGCCAAGACTTGGGCACTGGGGCTCAAGTTGCACGACCCATATGCGTTTGGGTCGTTGGAAGTCTTCAAGTCGCGGCTCAGACAAACGTTTGTACCGCCTAGAGCTGAGTTCAGAGCTCGAACCGAACTCTTGAAGCTCAAGCGGGGTAAGCGTAATGTGCACGCTTACGCGCAGCATATACGACATCTCACGAGTTGTATAAGTTCCAATCCGGTGGATGAACATACGTTGGTTTCGGTGTTCATGCAGGGTCTTGCGGGTGGTCCCGTCAAGACTCACCTGTTCCGACTTGAACTAGATTCACTAGAACAAGCCATTTCCATTGCAGAACAGGAAGACTTCAGTCTGAGACAGGCTCGCGCCAGCTCGACATCAAATCGTCAACCGAGACGATATGACAACGGAGGTCCAGAGCCGATGGAACTCTGTTATGTAGAGAGCGAGAAGGCTCGCTCTACAGACTATAAGAAGTTGCAGAGATGCAACAGATGTCAAAAGCCAGGACACTACGCTTACGAGTGTAGTGCCCCTCGTCCAGTGTCTCGCAACACTGGGCGTAGTGACCGTCAACCCATGAGAAAGGGGCAGGGACGAGGGTCCGCTGTTGGTGCAAAGACGCAACAACGGGATGGACCGTCAAAAACGGACAGGATCAGTAGGTGCGGAGCACCCTAATGGTCCAGCAACGTCAAGAGAATTTGTAGGCCTCTTGATGAAAGTTGCTCCCAACACACAAACGTTGTGCGTTGCTGCTCTAGGTAATGAGGTCTCACTCATTACCTTGAAACTCGAAGTGACGAATAAGTTGTCCCTTCGAGCTCTAGTCGATTGTGGGTCGTCCAACAATTTTGTGCGACGCCAATCGCTAGAAGATGGTCACTTCAAGTTCAGTGAATGTGACACACCTCCTACGAGGATGACGGTATGTCTTGCGACAGGCGCATCCGTAACCGTCATGAAGCGTATAGTGAAGATCCACTATACGCTAGAAGATACCCAATATGACGATGACTTTATCGTATTGGATTTGGATGACAAATTTGATATCATCCTTGGAATACCGTGGCTCAGAAGGTACGAACCACGGGTAAACTGGCAACATCGGACAGTAACGATGCCTGCCGCTTGTTCATCAGATGGCCATCTGATGAACGTTTTGGAGCGTCCACAAGCGTGTGGATGTACTACGAGTGAGTGCGATGGCCTCACTTGTGGTACGGTCGTTAGTACGACTGCACAAAACCTTAGTGTACCAAACGGTTACACTTCGGAGCAAAGTTCCGGCGGCTGTGAGGAAACACAGGCTGCGCCGAAGGTCCACCACTCGAATAAGTCTGGTGGACTGGGACAAAGATGTATCCCTAGCGGGGAACATCTAGAAGAGAAACGATCGATCGCTCAGGTTAAGCGAAACGATAATCCTAGATCGACTGGAGAGTCTTTCGTAGAGGATCTCGCTGTGGTTGCGCAACCCCAGCTAGAGGAAGTAAAGGGAATAAGTCCCAATATTACAATTACGGCGGAAATAAGTTCCCCGAAACCCGCGGGAATAAGTCCCCGGGAAGCCGAAGGAATAAGTCCTTCGAAGCCTGAGGGAATAAGTCCCCAGGAACTGACAGAGACATTGAATGTCATAGTCAATGACGGATCAGGTGTAGGCGCTTATACACTTGATCTGATTGCGCCTCCGAAGTTGACTTCGGAGATCACTCAGTTTCCAACGCTCGAACATAAAAGGTTCTTGCGTGATCTGCGTAGTGGCAAAGTCAAGTAGATAGTTTACTCGTCGCTGACAACGAGTGCGTAGCCGAAATAAGGTCAGCAACAGTGTTTACTGAGAACGCGAGAGTTCTCAGTAGTTCATCGATGGACGAGAGTGTCCTAGATGAAAAGACACGAATTGAGCGATATGAATCCCAATCTTGGGAATCGCTCAAGACAAATCCTCTCTATGAAGATTTGGTTGAATTCAAGGATGTATTGCCTGAAACTGTTCCGTGCGAATTACCGAAGGATACAGGTACTCGACACGAGGTCGAGCTTAAATCAGGCTCGAAGTACTGTGTCATGAAGCAGTGGCCACTGCCTCGTGAACAAGTACTTGCGATCGACAAGTTCTTTGCCGATCGTTTAGCTGCGGGCCATGTGAGGGAATCAACTTCCCCACATAGCTCTCCGACCTTCTGTGTGCGAAAAGCAACAGGAGGGTGGCGGATAGTGCATGCATTTAACAAGTTGAATGCCGCAACGGTACCGGCTCAGACACCGATACCAAGGAAGGACGTAATCATTGATGGTATGTCAAAGAGTACCATCTTTTCGTCCATGGATTTGATGGATGGCTTCTATCAAATCCTTATGCGAGAACGGGATATACCCTATACCGCAGTTAGCACGCCTAGCGGCATGCTCTGGGAATGGCTAGTAATGCCACAAGGGCTTAGTAACGCCCCTGCCACGTTCAAAAGATGTGTATCACATCTGTTGAGACCAGTACGAGAATTCGCGCCGAGTTATTTCGATGACGTATTCATCCATAGTCGAGCTATGGATGGAAAGTCGGACGTTGAGGTTCACAGGTACCACGTCCGACAGGTTCTTACAATCATGCGAAAGCATCAATTGTATGCTAACCTCAAGAAGTGTATATTTGCAGCAAGCGAAATACCACTTCTTGGGTGCATCGTTGGTAAAAACGGTGTACGTCCTGATCCCGAAAAGATCAAGGCGATCACCGACTGGCCTGTGCCGGTTGATGTCAAAGGTCTTCGAAAATTCCTTGGGCTAGCGGCGTATTTGCATAAGTATTCACGCAATTACGCCGAGATGACTGTGCACCTCTCTCGTTTGTTGAAAAAGAACGAGAGGTGGTTATGGAACGCTGGATGTCAGCGCTCCTTTGAGGGTATCAAGAAGAGCTTGATACAATCCCCAGTCCTAGCAATAGCCGATCAGGACAGGCCATTTCATGTGGTCTGTGATGCCAGCGATTTCGCAATCGGCTGTGCATTAATGCAGTACGACCTAGAAGGCATAGAACGCGTCGTCTGCTATCAGTCGCGTCAGCTGCAACCAGCTGAGCAGAACTATCCAGTGCATGACAAGGAACTCCTTGCCATGAAGTATGCACTCGCGAAGTTCAGAGTCTATCTATTAGGAGATAGACCCTTCATTGTTTACACTGACCATGCGTCATTACGCACGGCAGTGAACAGCCCGCACCTTTCACAACGAATGGAGCGGTGGTTGTCATTCTTTGCAGAATACAACTTTACGGTCGAGTACAAACCAGGACGACTTAATGTCGTCGCTGATGCACTCTCACGTCGTCCCGACTTTGAACCAGTCGTTAACCCAACAGTGAGACAGTCACTGTTGCGGTTATGACGTCCTCAGTCCCATCTACAACGTTGTATGATGATGTGAGGCGGGCATACGCCCAAGATGGTGAGATAGTGAAGTTGTTGACACATCTCTCCCAACCATCCCGAGAATCGTTGAAACGATTGTCGCCTGCGTATCGATCTGATGCAGATCGATACACTACTCGTAACGGTTTACTGTACTATACAGCCGTTTCAGGTGACACACCACGTGTTGTCATTCCAGATGATACTGAT